AATCAGAGGAGATAACATAGAAATTTAAAAATAGGTAATAATCCTAGGTATTCATATATGCTGTGAAAAAAATGAAGTAGGAGGGGCTGGGGATTTAGCTCAGCGGCATAAGCGCCTGCCTTGCAAGCAGGCAGTTGTGAGTTCGATCCCTGGTACCGATAAAAACGAAAAAGACAAAAAAAAGTTAAAAAATGAAGTAGGGTAAAAGAAAGGCAGAGAGGGTTGGGGTGGAGCACATTTATAGATGTGATTCTGAGGATGGTAGCTCTGAGGAGACGGTGACTGAGCAAAATGCGACTGGCTACACCACGCATTTGGGTGGCCCAGTCGAAGAAGGGAACTTGAGGCTGGAGAATGTTGAGGGGAAGGAAGTATTTCTGGGGAAGAATCCTCCTCATTCAGCCTCATTCAGTTCATTGCAAAGATTCAGTCCCCATTTTCTTTCTGGGTCTTGGACAGAGCTCTCTTTTAGGTCCTTGTCACATAACCGTGTCCATCTCAGGGCCAGCGCTGGAGAAGTTCACTGTTGTTCAGTCTCTTGCACTTTGAATGTTGGAGTTCTACTTGATTAGACTAGGCACACATAGACAATTTAGATTTTGATTAGCTCAGAGTTAACCAAGTAATAATTACATCTGCAAGATTGCTTCTATCATGTAGTATGATCATGCCAGACCTGATACTTGATTGTATACCCAGTCCTCTGGATTACAGTGAGAAATTTAGGGGAACATTTTAGAATTATTTTCACCCTGTTGCCTCTTTTTAATATATTGATTTGGTTCTCCTGTACCCACAAAGGAATTTTTAGTTTTTATTGAATTGGTAGAATATAACTCTGTCTCATTGTAAGAAAAATTCAAACTAAACTAGAAATATTTTTCAGTAGGTTAAATCTTTTATCTCTAGGGAGAAAACATTTAAGTTTTTACTGCAAGTGAAAACATAGTGCTTTTTGTTTCAATCGTCTATTTTCCATGTTAAGCCGGCCAGTAGATGAGATCTAAATTCAAGTTCTTTTGCACTGCACAGAGTAGAGGGTTATGTTTTGTTGATTGGTGGTGTGCCAGTTAATATCTTGAATCTAAAAGGCAGCAAAGCATGAATATTACATATGCTACTTTATAGTAATAAAAAATATTTTATTAGCAACATTACCTTACATTTCTAAACAATATAGATCTACGTTCCAGTAACACACATCAAATATTTATGAGTCAGCTCTATACAAATCTGATTTATTAGTTAGAATGATATACTGTAATTATGATGAATGAAAACAAAAGAGATTTAGTGGGTGATTACAACATTTAAATATTTTTTAAAAACACAAAAGGGAGTAACTATTTTTGCATATCTAGTGGGTAAATCTAAGACTGAAAGTTGTAAGTTGCAAGGAGGCATATTTCAGTATAGGGGGAAATGTTTCCTTAAAATATAAAAAAATAAAACAGAGCTTCCTGAGCAGGAGGAGGCTGCCTGGAGAATTAAAGTGTTTCTCAGGCAGCCTGAGGCATTAAACAGGGATGTCTAAATGCCACACCACAAGTGCTGTACAGCAAGTTTTAGCCAACTTTATCTGTAAAAGACCACTTAGTAAATCGTGTTGGCATTTGTAGGCCATTCTTTGTTGTACCTGCTTTGTTTTGCAGTTATAAGGAAGAAGCAGGCATAGACAACACATGAGTCAATGGATGTGTGATAATGAATATTAAAACAACCACTGAGCCAGATTTTGTCTGTAACCTATGATTTATCAGCTCTTACACATCACATTTTCTGAATTGGGTGGAGAGGACTTTAATGCAAACCAAGCCCGTTAAAACTCTAAAATTTCAGCATTACATGAATTTTGGGGCCGGGTGTAGAAGGATGCAGGCATCATTGTTAAAATACACCTTCAAGAGAAGTTATCCCTACCCACCGCTCATTTAGGCATGTCTCCAAGCTGTGATAGAGAAAAATAATTAGATGGATTTAAGTCTCAAATAAATGAGAATGTTATGAACGTTTTTAAAAAATGGAAACTTGTGTATAAATTGCGTGACCCTAAGTCAAAATACATTTTTTCTGATTAGGAATGTTCATGCATTTCCACATCCATTTTGATGTAAAGATTATAAATAAAAATTATATTATATTATAAGATGATAACAATTTAATTTCTATTACATACAGTTCTCTACATTTTAGCTTCTTCCTCCACATTTTATTTTATTCATGCCATATTTATATCTTTCATATGTTACATATTCATGACAAACTATTATAGCTATAATACTTTAAGTCTTGTCTTTTAATTTTATCATATAATTATTTTTGCAACCAATTTAGTAGCAAATAATTCTGAAATTGACTAGTTCACTGAGTTTTTTAAAGATATGTTTTCATTCTCTTAGTGAACTCTTTGTTTCAATTTATGAACTTCCTTTATCACATTTTGCAAGACAGGCCTAGTGGTGTCAAGCTCCCACAGTTCTTGTTTATCTGGAAAAGTCTTTACTGCTCCTTCCTCTCTGAAAGGCAACCTTACTAGGTATAGTATTCTTGGTTGACAGTTTTTTCTTTCAGTACAGATACTCTTCATTTTAAAATGGGATTATATCACAATAGGTCCATTATAAGCTCAAAATATCATAAGGAAAAATGAATTTAAACTGATATACATCATTGCATAACAACACAGTATACTGTAGAGTGTTGATTGCTTTCCTTCATGATCACTGGGAGTTGAAGCTCACTGCTGCTGTCCAGCATTCCAAGGATGTATCACTGCGAACTTGTGGAAAGACTAGAATTCTATATTTGAGGCATGGTTTCTACTGAATATGTATCAATTTTGTACCATTGTAAAATTGAAAGATGAAACTTTGGGACCATGTGTACTCTCAATATGTCATGTGACTCTTTCCTAAGTTGCAAGATTTCTGCTACGACTTCCACTGAAATTCTCAGGAAGAGTCCCTTGTATGTGATAAGTTACTTGTCTCATACTTTCAAATTAATTTTTGTCTCTGACTTTTGAAAATTTGATAGTAATGTGTCTTCACGAGAATATTTTAATATTTGACACATTTGAGTTTCTTTGGGTTTCATGAATCTGTATATTCATTTCCCTCTTCACATTTAGGAATCAAATTTAAGAAGTTCTCTGTTATTATTTCTCTAAGTAAGCTTTTAGCCCTTTCTCTTTCACTGCTCCTTCTGGGACTCTCAGAAAGCTAATTGATTTTCTTGATAGGCTCTTAAAGGTCTATTAGGATTTTCTTCACTCTTCTTTCCTTTTCTTTTGTTCCTCTGAATAATTTCAAATGAACTGCCTCTGACTTGCTGATTTTATCCTTGTTGAACTGCCTATTTTGTTTGTATTGTCTTCCTGATTTTCTTTGATTGTTTGTCTGTATTCACTTGTAGCTCGTTAAGCTATTATAAGACAATCATTTTGAATTCTTGTGTAGGCAGCTTGTGGACCTCAGTTTGTTTAGTGACAATTATTTATTGGTGTTTTATTTTCTTCTCCTGCTGATGTTATTTTTCCCTGATTGTCAGTCCTTACGGTGTTGTGCTGGTGTCTGAACATTTGAAAAGTTAAGCACTTTCCCATCAGGGAAGTCACTGATCAGTTCATCCAAAGATTCTGGGTGGGCCAGTTCGTGGGGACTGGGAGAAGGCTTGGAACTAGAATCCTGAGGCAATTTGGCCTGGCCCCAAGAACCACCAAGGCAGACATGGTGACTATGTTCATACATGTATGCTAGCAGCCTTGATTCACTGGGGCTTCCAGTATCCTATGTGAGTGAAGACTAGCTTGAAGCTAAAATTGAGTCCTAAAATTGATAGTGGGTTGGACTATGAGCTTGCCTTTACAGGGATCACCTTTAGGGAAGTTAGGGTGAAATGTCAGCTTGATTGGCTTTGGGATCTGACTATGGCATTGGTGGAGCACACTTTTGGGTATGTCTCTGTGAGTTATGGAGGCATAATCTTGGGCTCTAGGGCTGATCCCTCACCCCTCTTTCTCTGACATGGTTCTGGTACTGTTTTATTTTCTATCTTTCATGCATTAAATAGTTTTGCTTGATCACATGCTTCCTTCATGCTATTTCTGCCTCAGGGTTAGCTGACAATGGACTGAATTCTCTGAATCCATGGGCCAAATTAAAACTCTTTTCCTTTATATTATAGGTATCCAATATTATACCCTGAGAAGGGAAATATGACTAATACAACATAACATTTTGCTTTATGAGAGTGGATCTTGTCCTTAGTCTACATAACTCATCTTGATATTTTGTTCCACTGAGGCAGGCCCAACAGCTGAGTCAACAGGGACTGTCTAGAGTCCGGGTTCTTGAGGGCTAATCTGATGTTGTAATAGGCTGAATCTGGAGTCAGGAGTCATAAAGTCCAACCTAAACATGAAGTACACATGTTAGGGGGCCATTTAAGAGCCTGGAGCTCCAAGGTTCTGTGGTCTGACCTAGAGACCACAGAAGTTGGTACATACACAGTAGTGAGCCTGGAGACTGAGTTTTCAGGTTACAATGGCTGGCTTGGTGCTAGAATTTACTAGGATAATCCTGCTCCTGCGTTTTTTTGGCAGTGGGGTGTATATACATCCCTCTCCTCCCTTAACGCAAAGGACATCTCCATGCTGAGCTGCCTAGACTTGGGAACAAGGTGATGCTGCTAATGTGAAGTTATTCTTCTTATGATCTTCAGCCCATCTAATTTCTAAGCTCCAACCAAGTGCTTTAACCTCTCACTTGGATTCCTTAGCCCTTGGCAAGGTAATTTTGTGTTTGCAAAGTTTTTCACCTGATAGTTCTGTAAATGAATGGATGTTGGAAATTCTTATTCTGACATCTTGACATCCTTCCCTGAAACAGTTAATATATTAAACCAGTGAACACAGGAATAGGATGTTCATGGAAGGTATTGACAGGACAAAAAGCTGAAACCATTGGCAGAAAGCAAAAGTCAATATTAGACCCAAGCAAATATTGCCTGCAGTGCCTCTGGGACAGCTTGAAGACCGTTCATTTTTAAGTGGCAAGAGACTCCCTCATCTGCAGAACCACAGAAACAATTGTGCTTTCAGGTAGCAACTTTCTATTATTCTGATTGCTTCTAAATACAGTGTTTTGTTTTTAAGGATTAATTTTTACTTTATGAAGAATCTACTAGTTTGTGTTCTAATTTACTGAGAATCTAGACAGTTTAGAAGGAATAGAAGCTTTTGTACAGAGAAATATTTAAATACAAAATATTTATATGTCAAAGATAGTATTTGACTGATTTAAAATTTTTAAATGTATTTGAATATTTTCACAAATTTTCTTTATGTAGTGATTTTAGAGTAATATTGTCACTTTTTACAGTGATTTTCTTTTTTGCTAAATTTTAAAGTTTTTAAAGTTCTCTCTCAATTCTGTTTCAAAAATTATTAGCATCAGAGGTGGAAAGTTAGCAGTCAACAAAATAAGAGTTTAGAGATCTTAATTTGTGTCTGGGGAGGGATTATAAAATTTCCCAAATTCCTTGACCAAAAAAAAATGTACCCTAAAAACTTATTCTCTGTATTAGTAATTGTGTGTTTTGATCTGAAATTTAGACATTAACAAGAAAATCTATATCTATATTAAATTAAAGTATATTAAAGTTTGTTACGTTAAATGTGTTAAATAAGACTGAAAACTAGCAAAGTTATAAATGAGCTGTTTTCTTCCTTGCTTTCTTTCTTTTCTAGTATGTTTGCATTCAGCCAAGCAGCTTACTTCATTTGCTTGTTTGGTACAGTTTTTTGTGGTAAGTAGAGCCTCTATAGGAGATAAAGTTAAGTTAAGCAAAACTTACCACCCCAGGGAGAAAGCTTTTGATTTATGCAGCTTTAAGGAAGGAGGCATCCCTGGATAATTCATTTTGTTGTCTCTGTTTTCTGTTTGGAGCCCAGAATTAATTCCTAGATGTATTACCTTAAATACACGTTTAAGGGGGAGGAGGCTGGAAGAGAGACCATCTTATGGCCCGTGTTCCCTAGCCTGTCTGAAGGTCTGCTTTGTGCAGATCCACAAATAAGTAATCGATCACCCATTTTCATTATCAACATTCAAAAAATAAGCTTTAATTGAAAGGTAAAAACAATTACTGGGCTTTTATGGTGTTTGGGTCTATTCCAAGGACCTGACAGGCACATGACACATACTTTTATTCCAGGCCACTGGGGAAATATTTCAGAAATGAAGATCACTGGTTTAAATTCAAACGAGTATGCCATCCCTTTGCTATTTTAGGCAAATAGTTTTCAATCCTGGATTTTTATCTCACTTCTTCCTCTGTCTATTCCACTAGTTTTCAAATAACTCTGGACACTTATTTTCAATTAGTCATTGAAGAAAGGAGAAATTTTTCTCTGGGCTACCCCTAGGGGTCAATTCTGAGTCTGATGACTTAAAATGGTCAAATCAAGATTGTTTGCTTACTGCCCAGCTGCTCTGGGTGAGGTTTACATTTCGAAAGAGACTTAATTTCTTAGGAAAACCTTTGAAATCCCCAAATCCTATTTTTCCTACACCTGTCCCCTCAACCCTAACCAAAATCTTTACCATAATTATGACTATGTAAAAACCAGCTGAATTCTGAGCAATATAAAACAGAGAGTCTGTGGACCATGTCTGTTTCGATTATTTTTAGCATAAAAGAAAAAAAAATCACAAGTTTTTTCTGGGAAAATTAGAAGTGTAATTGCATATAATTCCTAAAATGCAGAAAAACTTATTTTAAAATCTTTTACTTGATCTTTTAAATATTTTTCTATATTGATCTACTTACTTATTTTACAAAGGCTATATTAAGTATATATACTTTAAAACTTACTTTTGCCACTTATAACTATCTTTTATCAAATAAATACATGTCTAGTATCCTCTTTTCATAGTATTTTTGTATATATCTTCTTATACACATATTCAATTAAATCTGTGGATTAAACTGGAAAGTAAATACTAAACACAAAAGTGTGAATAATTTTAAAGTTTTTATGACAAGCATCATGAAATTATCTTCCCTTCCAGATGGGTTATTTTCTAGTTGGCTTTTTATACCAGCTTTTAAGAGTGTTCAAGTACTCTACTTTGACCAAATCAAACAGGCCTACTTGTATTCACCTTTCTGGAAGCAGTATGGATATTTACTTTTGGAAACCTATTGCCTGCACTTTGGGTCCATGTTTTTCTGTGGAAATTACTTTTGACACCACAGCAGGAGCTAAGGATTCAGACAGATCTGAATCAGGAAGTGCACATATTTTGCTGGCACTGGACAGGTCAGAGCCCAAGCCTTACAACCAGGTTTTTGCTTGGATGTCCAGAAACTGGATGCTTAATTTTTCCAATTTGAATTGGAATATGAGAGAATACAGAGGCCTGAATTACTAGTGCCATATTTTACTACGTGGCAACACCATGGAACAGAGCCAATGGGTAAAAATTGTGTACTGATGCTATCCTTTGAGAACAGTGTCTAGTTAATCCAGAAGCCAAATCACCACAGGCTTTATGCTTCTGAACCAATAAATTTTATTTGGACTCAAGCCACTTTGAATTACATTTCATATCATGTACAACCAAAGTCAGTTATTTAAGTTTCGGTTTTTGCTAACTTTGTGGATAAAATGACATGCTAATGTTTTAACTTTTACAAATTTATGATTCTTAGCTTTTATTTACTATTTCTAGACATTTTTTCTATATAAAAATTACATTTTAATTTTCGCTTTTGTCATCTAATTTTTTAAAGTTAGAGAGTTTTTTTTAATTTAAAGAGAAAAAAAAAAAAAAACCAAAGCAGTAAAAGGGTACAAGTAGTACAGAATTTCAAGAAAAAAATATACAGTAAGAAATCACTAGTTAATAGATTACATATTGTCATCCTAGAAACAGTTGTCCAAATTACAAAATTAAAGCATACAAAGTGGACATTCATACAGTGAGATTGTAGACAGTTCTGTTCAATGATCCAACAAAACCTCAGTAATATCGTTTTCTATCCTACACACTTAAATATACATGCAGTTCTATCCTTTAGGCCACTTTCTTTTCCTCTCTTTTTTACAATCACAATTATACTTTTGGTGTTTTATTACTCCCACAGTTCTTATAACTTTTTTTTTTCTGAAGAAAAAAAAAACCCAAATGTGACAAAGCAAAACAGAGTCAGTTAGAACAGAAAGATGGACATAATACATGATGCAAAAACAGAATACCAGGTGATCAAAAATGGTTACCATTATGCCTCTTGCTATCTTAAAAGAGTTGCCTATATCGTCAGGTATAATAGAATTGAACAAAACAGTACAGAACAAGACCCATAAAACCTACACTGGAGACCTTACGGGACTTCAAAAGAAGATAATAGTCAAACCATAATGGGCAACATAGGTAATCTTATTGCCTTCAAAGTAGTTGCCTATACCCTCAAACTTGATACTATCAAACAGAAGAGAATAGAGTAAAATCAGTCAAAACAAGATGGGGAGAGCAATACTGGAGTTCAAATCAGGTTAATAGGAAAACAAAAAGTTACTATAACATATCCTGCTATTTTTTCTGCTCTTTTTGATCATGTAACTTTTTAACAAGACTGAATAACCTGGACATGGACACAGGGACCCATGTGAAAGCTGAAGATATGATCATTATGAGATAATTTATCTTATGGCATCTTGCTTATGTTTCAAAACAATTTGCAGATAAATTTATAATTGTCATCATCATCGCCATCACCACCAATGTATGAGAATAAGCGTGAACATTTACTAGAACTTTCTTTCCATACAGCTCCAAAGCTGATGCATTACTCATGTGACTTCTTTCCATCAGCTGAGTCACACTGGAAGTTCACAAAAATTCTGCTGCAGAATGGGAGCTCCCAAGCTACCACTGGTCATGATTTGTACTCTAGCATGTTTGGTTTAGGATGGGACCGTGGTGACCACTGAAAATTATGAATCAGCTGAAAACACCAACTTCTAAAAAATAAGCCCATTTACAACAAGCATCATTATAAAACCAACTAATTAGTGTTCTGTGCACATATGAAATTCAACAACACACAATTGGGAGCTTGTATTCCCAAATGCCAGCAAGGATTTTCAATATGTGATATACACAAAATACTATATCACCATAATTAATTCAGATTAGCAAATGGTTTTAAATTTATTTTCAATTTAGCATATGCATACATTCCTTAACTTGTAAAGTTTATTTATTTGTTTGTTTTTATGCTTTACAGGGGGAAGAACTTAGGATCTTTGCACTAAGCTACATCCTCAGTTTTTATTTATTTATTTGTTTTTTTGTTTTGTTTTGTTTTGTTTTGAGACAAAGTCTTGCTAAGCTTCTTAGTTGCCAGGTTTGGGCTCCAACGTCCTGTCCTGCTATCTCGGCCTTTCAGAGTTCTGGGCTTACAGGGATTTGCTTTTAAAAAACAAATCACACCTCCTATTAGTTTGATTGAATTAAACTGAGATGAGGAATAACATTTAATAGTGCATCCTAGAAAAGAGGACAAGATTGAAGATAAGAAGGGTTGAGGTTTTATCCCAAGACATTCATTAATTTATGAATCTTGGGCAAATCTGTACACCCTGAGCCTCAGTTATTTAACTTCTTTTTTAAAAAAAAGTCAGATGTAGATAATAAAGCTACCCTTATAAAGCTGTGAAAATGTAGTAGGGATTTTTATTAAAGTGTTTTAAAAATAGATCAAACACCATTATTTTTAAGGCATGACCCTTTTTTCTTTTGGTCTTTTTCATTTTTATCGGTACCAGGGATCGAACTCACACCTGCCTGCTTGCAAGGCAGGCACTTATGCCACTGAGCTAAATCCCCAGCCCCAGGCATGACCCTTTTATAGCATGTTAAGTAACAAGGAGAAATTGAGTTAGGATTATGTTTTATGTGCACATTTTTTATGTTTTAACAAAGCTCATTAAATCTTTTCTACAGAAATACCTGTTTTCTTTCTTTGTTTTTCTGATGTAGTACTTGGGAGCAAACCCAGGATGTTTGTACTGAACAACATTCCTGGCCCTTTTTATTTTAAGCCTGGGTCTCACCAAATCACTAAATGGTCCAAATAACCTCAAACTTGCTATCCTCCTGTTTCCTTAAAATAATACATACATTTTGTTAAGATTATTATTTGCCTTCATTCCAAGTTAATTTTTAATTATTATGTCACAGGATGCCTGACTCAATGGTACAAGAATACTTTCTTCAGAGGTGGAGATGTAACTGCCATGTTCACCCCCGATGCCCAGTACTGTCAGATGATGTGCACCTTCCACCCCAGGTGCTTGTTGTTCAGCTTTTTTCCAGCAAGTTCAACTAATGACATCACCAAAAGGTAAAAGTTTGTATTTTCTCATAGGCAAAGTCAATCATTTTTCAAAATGGTATCAGCTATGTGCAGAAAGGTACACATCTTAGTTTTCTTCTTGCTGAGACAAAATAACCAACACTGACAAGACAATAAAAGTTTGTTTAGTTCACAGTTTGTAGAGATTTCAGTGCATAACTGGCTTGCTTCAAGGCACAGTGGTATGGCAGATGTGCACAGTGGACATGCCATGGCAGATCGTGGTGGCCAGAAGGAGCAGAGCAGCAAACAGAAAGCAATTAAACAGGAAATAATTGAAAACACTAGCCCTCTTTCCGTCCCTTATACTTTATCCAGGCTACCTGCCCTTGGGGCAGGCAGTGCTCATACCCAGGTTCGGGCAACTTCAATCCTACCCTTTATCCACGATGGCAAAGCGATCAGTGGACTAACTGTGTACCACACACCCCTGATCTCAGTATCACACACTCTACATACAGCCATCTCAGAAGTCTCATTTAAGACAGCCCAAGGCTTTAGTGGAACATCTAGACCCAAGCCATAACAGTACATCAACTCACAAAGATTGCTTTTCAAATGGCATTCAAGGACTAGGTTCATGAGAAGGCTCTGGAGTGATTCTTTCAAAAGCAGAATCTGACACCAGAGCTAGACTTACTGAACTCAAGTGTCTTGGGTCTGGAAATTTGCATTTCAAGCAATCGTTGCATTTATGTAAGGCAGTAGAAGTAATAGTGATAATACTTTTTATCCAACACCTCAAGAAAAATACTAGAGAATCATCTGTGTCAAGAGATTATCTCATGAAGGGGTCTAATAACAAATATTTTCATCTGAATAAGGAAAGTACTTAATTATTTGAGTTGTTATTATATTTGTGGGTAGCACAGTCTAAAGAAAATATAACACAGCTGGGTGTAGGGCACACACATGTAATCGCAGCACTCTGGGAAGCTGAACAAGAGGATAGCAAGTTTGAGGCTGTTTGGGCCATTTATTGACTTGGTGAGACCCAGGCTTAAAATAAAAAAGGGCTGGGAATGTCTTACAGCACAAACATCCTGGGTTCGCTCCCCAGTACTACATCAGAAAAACAAAGAAAGAAAACATAATATAACATAAACCAAGCTTTTTATTGAGAATATGATTAGAAGAGGGAAGATTTTAATGGTGCCTGTTGTGAACTAGTTTCTACACCAGTGGCATGCACTGTGTGAGTGTGTGTGAGTGTGTGTGTGAGTGTGTATATGTGAGTGTGTGTGCTCATGCACGCAATCATGGGCCTATATACACATGTGCTATTTGCTGGCAGTTTGAAAGAGTATTTTAAGAATAGTTGGTAAGCAAAAATCTTATCAGATTGTGAACATGCCATAATTTAAATTTCTTGCATTTTGATCAATATCTGAACTGAATATTTTATTTGCATTTCCATGATTCTTTACTCTTATCTCCTTATTGCTTCAGTTTAAAAACTAGAAACTGGATAATCATTCTCTATTCCTACATGTTAAGCTGTGCAGAAAACCTGTCCTAAATATGAGAATAATCATGTTGAATATTCAGTTAGGAATTGAGTCTGGAATCTTTGTAAATAGTCAGATTAGCATTGAATTTGACATTAAAGACAGAAGTCTTCCAAAAGATATAGATTGGAAAGAATCAATAAGCAAAATGAGTACTAGATACACATCCAACTCATGACTGATTTAACTTTTAAGTAAATGAAAATATATATAAAGCACCACCAACTGGGAACATAGTTTCCTGAAAGTTTTAGAAACATGAGACTAGTAATTAATTTTTTGATATTGTTGACTCTCTGTACTTTTTTGATTCTCTGTACTTTAAAAAATTTATCTTTTAAAAATTCTACAGTATGGTATTACAGAAACCATTAGATATCATAGAATCACCTCTAAAACTCTTTAAGTGTCAAAGAAATAACATTTTTATTAACTCTGAGCTTTGTTAATGTGGGGAAATTCCTAGACACAATCTTAATGTATGTGTATTATTCTACTTAAGTGACCCTTTTTTTACAAACAGGTTTGGTTGTTTCTTGAAAGACAGTGTTACAGGAACTCTACCAAGAGTGCATCGGACAAATGCAGTTTCTGGACATTCCTTAAAGCAATGTGGCCATCTAATAAGTGGTAAGTAGTGGATTTTTTAGCTAAATTTGAGTTAATGATAGATCTGTCTTAAAACAGTTATTGGTCAAAGCCTATACTGCCACAGACTTTTCAAAGAAAGCACTAAGAAAAATAATCCAATTGGGAAAGTGTTCTGGGGAACCATATTCATTTGGACAATTTTCTTGTTTTTGTCAGTCAATAATGAGCTTCCCTTATTTATGAGGGTCACAATATTTTGAGGAAGTGTGTACATATCCAATGAATAGTCTCTCCCTGATACTTACAAAGAAAACCCAGGAAACATCTCTTTTCCAAGTTGACTTGAGAATAATTTGTGATTCTCAACCAGAAGTGATTTTGCTCTTCTCAAAGAACATTTGGCAGTATCTGGAGACACTTTTTATCATTGCAAATAGGGAAACTGCTACTACGTATAGTATAGCCAGAGATCCCAAATATTCCACAAAATGCAGGACAGTTCCCCACAGCAAGGAATTTTATCATTAGAAATATCAACAATGCCATTAATAAACACTTGGAAAACCTTGTTGTATACCATTCAACCCAAATTGAAATGGAATTCTGAAATCTTGGTATTGAAATACTGCTTTAAAAAATGTGAATTCAGGGGGCTGGGGATATAGCTCAGCAGCAAAAGCACCTGCCTTGTAAGCAGGCAGTCGTGAGTTCGATCCCTGGTATCGATAAAAACGAAAAAGATAAGAAAAAAAGTGAATTCTAAGATGCTAGAGAACTTTAATTGTGATACCTAGTGATGCTAGTGCATTGAGAAAATTTTTTTAAAGCTATCCTAATTAATAATTTAAAAGTTTTGGTTATAAATACACCATCCCAATTCCAGCCTGTTTTCTCAACTGCAGCAAACTTGAAAAGAGAGTTTATGTTTTAAAGATTTACATGTACATGAAGCCCTGAGGATAATGCACTTACTTCCCTCCCACCTCAGAATATTGGTCTCCTGAAAGCTTGTGTATCTTCTGTCTTTCTTATGTTTAAAATTGATTTTGTGATTTTATATTCCTTAGGAAAAGTATCTACACAGTGGGTGCTGGCTTATAATGCGGGTTAAATAAAAAATCTAACATGTTTGAGTCTAAAAAACAAACAAAACAAAAAACAACATGATGTTGGAAAAGCTGACTTTTCACATGTGGGAGGCTAATACTAACTCCATGTCTATCACCTTGTGCTAAACTAAGTCAAAATGGATCAAAGATCTATATATTCAAGCAGAAACACTAAATCTACTGGAAGAAAAGGAGGTATAAATTTTGAAGAAATAGGGGTAGGCAGAGAATTCATGAACAAAAATCCAACTGCACGGGAAATACTTTAAAGAGTTGACAATTGGGATCTCATCTTATTTATAAGTCTTTGCACATCAAAAGAAATAAAGTGGAAAAATAATCTTAGGCAATTGTTCCTAAGACAAAGGATATCTATCTGGAACCTATAATGAACTGAAAAAAATCAGGCCCCCCAAATTCAAAGACCCAATCCAAGAATGGGCATCTAAGATGCATACACACTTCTCAGGCGGAGAAATACAAATGACAAATAAACATATGAAAAAATGTTCAACATCACTGGTCATTCCAGAAATGTAAATTAAAACAGCATTGAAATTTGATCTGACCCCAGAAAAAGTGGCTATCATCAAGAAAGAAACCAGTAACCAATGTTGGTAGAGCTGTAGGGAAAAAAGAAATCTTCTCCCCTGTTTGTGGGGATGTAGACTGGTACAACCACTGTGGAAATCAGTGTGGAGATTCCTCAAGAAGTAGGATTAGATATTCCATTTGACCCACCTATCCCCCTTCTGGGCATTTTCCCAGAAAAATTAAAAACATAATACCACAGCAATATATGTTCACCCATCTTTATAGTAGCACAATTGGTAATAGCTAAATCTTGAGAACAACCCAAATGCCTGTCAAAAAGAGTGGATAAAGAAGATGTGGTATTTTAACACAACAGAGTACTACTCAGGTGAAAAAAAAAAAGGATAAGCTCAAGGCTTTTTTACATAAATGGGTGTAATTAGAGGCCATACTCATAAGTGAAATAAATCAGACTCCCATGTGTAACCATATCCTGTCTCCCTAGTGTAAGAAACTGAAAGAGTAAATAAGATCTAAAAATCTACAATACAAATCTTGAAAGAGAAAGAGACTGCTCAAAGGGAAAAACAACTGGGATGGGAGGAAAGAGATAAAAAGGAAAGGAAAAGAAACTATATATATACAAGATAGCTGAGATAATTATACTACTAATTTATTTTGGTTCACTAAGGAGAACAGTTTGTACTTATATTGTTTGATCAATTTTGCATGCCTACATCTTGTAATCAGAGCAACTACACTGAAGATAACAATACAAACTACATTAACCATTATTAATTTTCTACTATCTTGATATGAAATTTTGTATAATTGTTTTTATTGACTTTCTCTTTAAAATAAAAAATAAATAAACATTTAAAAATAAGAACCTAATTTGATTCATTATCTGTTAAGTGAACTACCTGCATTTTTTGTTTGAAAGGGTGCTTAAATAGAAAAACAGAACTGAATAAAAGTTTAAAGCAAGAATAAGAATCGTTCCCCATGTGTATACAAGAATGCTCCATATTTAGTAAAGGTTTGGCATGGAAAGTCAACGCTAGAGTTTATAAATGAAGTTCATGATCAGATCTGTGTAGCTGAAAGTAAAGAAATAAACCAGACAAACAAACGTCTTTGTATAGTGCAAGAGGTCAAAGGCTCATCAGTTTGTTTACCGAGGTAAACACTTGGAACACCCTGCAGGATCCTTGTTTTTATTGTCTTGTTTAGTTTCCATTGCCCACTGATTACCACAACTTGAAATGATACCTGTACTGCTATTTGCACCTTATGGCTTAGGAATTAAAATAACCCCCACCTAATACTAATACTCTAGGAGTGGTATTATATTATGTTTATGTTGACCACAAATTTAATCATTTAGTGACATAATTGAATTTGAAGTTCTTCAGTTAATAGCCCCATAAATGAAACAGGGACTTTTTTCTTCCCACACTACCCTGCTGCCCAAATGGTGATTGGTGACCTCCCTCTAAAAAGAAAATTGACTGAATTTGCTCCACTGATTTCATTTGTTCAGCTTGCCATCGAGATGTTTACGAAGGAATGGATATGAGAGGAGTAAATTTTAATGTATCTAAGGTCAAGAGTGTTGAAGAATGCCAAAAATTGTGCACCAACAATATTCATTGCCAATTTTTCACATATGCCACACAAATGTTCGGAAATGCAAGGTACCGGTGAGTAAAATTCAGGATTTTTTTCCCCTTACAATAGTGTTTTCAGGATTTAATTGTATTCTTCATAATATCAGTTTTTCCTTTCAAGAGAAAATAGTCCTAACCATTTCCTTTATTTACTTATGCAATTGTAGTATGATTTTTACTGAAGAGAATAAGTACCATTTGATTCACAGATAAATTGTGTCTGTGGAATGAAGGTCTAGATTTGTAGAATAATGCGTTTTGCCTCATTCCCAATCTAACCTCCCATCTGAAAACTGGAAAGATGTCCATTTCACTGACACCTCAAGCCTGTAATCCATGATCCAGTAAATGTTACTGTTCTAATTCCCCCACTGTGCTCCCCTGCCCAGGGGCATATATTACCAGGACCATTACATGCTTCTAAAAATTTGGAAAGCCAAGTAACATTTTTTTCTCCACCTTCAGGAACGACTGCCTATTAAAACAAAGTACAACAGGAACACCAACCAGTATCAAGATGGTGAATAACGTGATATCTGGATTCTCACTGAAGCCCTGTGCACTTTCAGAATTTGGTAATTGGGGAGCTTCCATTTCATTATATGGCAGCACTGGGTAGAATAAGAACCCCTGGAATCTGTGACTGAGTTGCCTCAGCAAAATGTCTTCCTAGTTGTGACCAAGATAAGGGGATTATTCTGCATGATGTAGATGCGATACACACTCTAGTCCCAAGGTTCTTGTAAGAGATAAAGAGAGGCAGAAGGGTCAACCTGGCATAGAGATTTGAAGCTGTTGCATTGCTGGCTTTAAAAGGGAAGGAAGGTCCATAAGCAAAGGAATGCAGGGGGCCTCTGGAAGCTGAAAAAGGCAAGCAAAGACGTTCTCCTTAGAGCTCCCAAAGGGTCAAAACACTGCCAGCATTATGGTGCTAATCTAATAAGACCCATTTTAGACTTTCTGTCTCTAGAACTGAAAGTAATAAGTTTGTATTTGTTTATACATCTAAGTTTGTAAATATACTCCTAATACAGCAATATTAAGAAACCATTGAGAGACCTGCAAAGTCATCTCTTGAAGAGAGACCTGGAGAGTCATCTCTTGATGGTACTAGTATCTAGTGATGACTTCACCATGATAAATAAAAAAAGCACCCACTTTTGGAGGTTCTTACTCTGCCATCTCCATCAACATTCTGTATTAATTTTGGTAAAACAAACAAGCTAGTTTTCATCAAGTGATCCTTGGAATACGGAGTGCCTGTCCTTTTACATCTGCACAGGTCACACACCACGACTGCAAGTTCACAGAGCACAAGAGATCAGAACAAGGATGATAAGAGTACCTAAAAGTAATGGAACATTTACAAATGATTAAAGGAAAAATTGAAAGATACTTAACTTGAAAAAGAGTCAGAATTACTTTTTTAACTTTTTGCTGGTTTTATTTTGTTTGTAAGGGTCATCATTGGAAAAGGAATCATATTAGGTTAGGTGATTCTGTAGGGATTATTTAGGTTGATATTATAGTGCAGAAAATTTAAAAGAAAGCTACTGTCTGCAGTAGTCCTGAAAAAAATGGATCTTCTCTTGTGATAGTGAACTCTTTAGCACTTATAAATGTCTAAGTAAAGTTACATGAAAACTTGTGAAAGTGGCCCCTGTGAGGATACAATTGTGGGTCAGCATTCATGGTCTTGCTTATGTTCTCTTTAAGCTTCTAAAGTTTACGTGCATTTTTAAAAAAAAATTTATTAGTTGAGGTATGATTTTCTAGACTTCCAATATGAATGCTAATGGGAGGTGCTCTTTTTTGGTCCAGCTATGTCCACTGAGGTTAGGAAGGTGTTTTTCTTTTCCATTATTGCTGCCACTAGTTTTTAAGCTTCCATAATTTAAATGGAATTTATCAAGTAAATGGAGTAAGTTATATAAACCCAAATAATAATAAACTTGAGAAATAAAATCATGGAAAGAGAATGAAAGATTCATTCAATTTTTTCCTATTCTAATTTCAAAGGGCGAATGGTATTTTTGTTAGCTGCCTGGAACTTGTCTAATCTGTTTTTGTTGAAACATTTTTCACAATGTTCCAGAATATATAACATAAGCCCAATTTGGGGTCAAGGCAATACAAAGTAAATATGAACAGGAACCAAGTCACCCCAACAGCACAGGAGAGGGTGGAAATAGGAGAATCGGTTGGTTGCTTTTATTTCTTACCAGAGTTAGAACAGTTTTGCCTTCTTCCAAATGGTGAACAAATTTGGGTCTATTTCAACAGATAATTTTTCACCAAGGATATGACTCTTAAGTCCCTTAGCTGTGATGACAATTAACAAGTGACTAGCATTGTGCCACTGACTGAAGAGTCTCTTTCCTCTCTGGGTTCACAGGTTGTCGCATGAACCTTTTCCAGCACACTGCGTTTTCAGACACAGATGTGGCCAGAGTCATCACCCCAGACGCCTTTGTATGTCGAACCATCTGCACGTACCACCCCAGATGCCTCTTCTTTACATTTCATACGAATGCGTGGAATACAGAATCCCAAAGGTGAGCGTGAGAGCCTGGCGCGTGCTGCTCCTCTCTCATCTTCTTTAATAGTTGGAGTTTGAAAATGTTTTATGGCGCTCAAAACTCTAGGAATAGCAATTTAAATAGATACTTTTCTATCAAGTGCAGATTAGGTTTGAGATGAGTAGACGTTTCTGTGTACTTTTTCTTATGTAAAACAAACACACAACGTACCACTGAGTCAATGAAACAGTATCCACCTGGGGCAGAGAAAAGATCTGATACCTTTCTTGCTTGTACTGTGTTTTACTAGCTGGGATAAAGCTGCTAGCTGGCAGTTTATCCTTTTAACTTGTTGCTCTGATTTCTCCCTGTTTTAGAAATTAGGTCTCTATTTATCTGATCAAGATTCTGGCCCTACTGCTTTATCCAGACTATCCCACCCTTTATTCAAATCCAGCATAAGACTAGAAGAAGAGTGTATATTTGTATAATAGCACAGACAGCATAAATCCCATTATATGTTAGTTTAACATTTAGTACTTCACTATCACTCTCTTTTCAAATTATCTGTGTCTATTAATTTTCACCAGTGGGAGCCGTGGCTTTATTCACCTGTAGTCTCTATGACTTATTAGTGTCCTGGGGATTGACTTTGAAGAGTGCTTCTTTAGAAAATAAAATTTTCAGTTATATTTTTGATGCTTTTATATTTACCTAATGCCTTTAATACAGTTTTCTTTCTTTTTTGAGAATAGAAATGTTTGTTTCCTTAAGACTTCTCAAAGTGGAACACCAAGTTCCTTTACTCCTCAAGAAAAAACAATATCTGGATACAGCCTTTCCACCTGCAAGAAAACTTTCCCTGGTAACGGGATTCTGTAATTATACTAACATAACATGTAACAAACCTGTTATTTTGTAACAAGTAACGGGGATGAAATAATCCTCAAAACACCCGAAACTTGTGTTGATGCTATTTGTTGCTTTCTCATGTTATCTCTCTTTATGTTCATCCTTGGCACAGAACCCTGCCTCTCCAAAATTTACTCTGGAGTTGACTTCCATGGGGAAGAATTGAATGTGACCTTCGTGAAGGGAGAAAGTGTTTGCCAAGAGACTTGTACGAAGACAATCCGTTGTCAGTTTTTTACTTACTCTTTACTCCCAGAAGACTGTAAGGGAGAGAAGTAAGGGAAAATTTATTTGGTAAGATATTTCATATTTTTCCCTTCTGTGAGGGCATGACCTTTGTGCTGTTTATTTCACCTAGGTGCAAGTGTTTTTTAAGATTGTCTTCAGATGGTTCCCCAACCAGGATTACATATGGGGTACAAGGGAGCGCTGGCTATTCTTTGAGATTGTGTAAAACTGAAGACAGCTCTGGTGAGTAAAGCACACTCCCCAGTAAAGTGTGACATTTGGGCAGCCCGCTTAGTCTTATATGATCGAATTAGGTATTTCATTTTCTTTTTATTTTATTTTATTTTGGGAACTCTGATTCACTTCTAATTCTATCCACTGACTGATATTCTTCTTCTTAGTGTGCACAACAAAAATAGATGCACGAATCGTGGGAGGAGCGAACTCTTCTCGGGGCGAGTGGCCCTGGCAGGTCAGCTTGCAGGTGAAACTGACCAGTCAGAGTCACCTGTGTGGAGGGTCTATCATCGCACCCCAGTGGGTCCTGACTGCTGCTCACTGCTTTGACGGGTAGGTGACGGGCGAGTGTTCTCTTGTCTGTGCCTTTGGAAGCCTCTCGAATCAGTTTCTTCATCATCCAGTGCCCTTAGTAATAAAGAATTATTCTCTTTTTAAAAATATTTTATTTAAATTTACTTTTAAAATGATAAATGAAAACATAAAATTTGCACATTTCTGGGGTACCACTGGATGATTTGATGTCTATATAGTTTTAATTAGAGTAAATCTTTCCATCTTTTTGAACATGTATTCTAAAAGCATACAGAACCCATCTAACTTTTGGAAATATACGGAACATTATCACCATCAGTAGTGACCTGATTGTTCAATACCATATAAGAAAGTCTTACTCTTATCTAACTTTAACTAAGTCCTCATTAATCAACCTTCACTCTCTCTCCCCCTCCTTCACTGTAGCTGTGTTGTCTGATAACCATTATTCTATTCTCAGAGTCTCCTGGATAAACACTCTTTTTTAAAAATTTTATTTAAAAGGAAAAAGAGAAAAAACAAAACAAAACAAAGCAGTGTAAGGGTATAATCAATACAGAACTACAAAAAAACAAAAAAACAAAAAACAAAAAAACAAAACAAAAAAAAACAGTAAGAAATCACCAGTCAATAGATTACAATTATCATCCTAGAGACAGTTGCTCAAGTCACAGTATCAAAGCATACAAAGTGGACATTCAAACAGTGAGACCCAAACAGTTGTGTTCAATGATCCAACCAAAAACATTAATATGGGCATCTATTTAACACCCCTAAACACACTTGCAGTTGTATACTTTAGAGCACCTTTTTTCCTCTCTTTTTTACAACAAAACTTACACATTTTGGGTTTTATTACTCCTTAGTTCTTATTACTTTTTTTTGGAAGAGAATAAAGTCAAATATGGCAAAACAAAGCTGTCAGTCAAAACCAAGGATAGGCATTGCACAGGATGTAAAAACAGAGTACAAGGTTATCGACAATGGTTACCATAATGCCTCTTGCTTCCTTAAAAAGGATTGTCTATCTCATTAGGTATTATAAAGTTGAACAAAACAGTAGAGAACAAGACCAATAAAATCTAAACCTTGTAAACACTACAGGATTTCCAAAGAAGATAATAGTCAAACCAGAATGGGCATCACAGTGAATCTTATTGCCTTCAAAGTAGTTGCCTCTAACTTGATACCATCATATAGAATGGAACAGAGTCTAATCAGTCAAAACAGGATAGTGGGAGTATTACAGGACTTCAAATCAAGTTAATAGGAAATCAAATATGTTACTATAATATATCCTGCTAATTTTTTTTATTTTTCCCTTAATTAAAAAAATCATTAAAAAATAATTAAATAATTTTTTAATGAATAAGGAAGAGATTGAGATAAAAGAGGACATAACATCATAACAGTACAGGTCAAAGCATGACAGTTTCAGCAACCTAGTGCTTCACCACCAAATAACCCGGTTTAATAGTAGTTACCATAGTGTCTTTTGGATAAACCCTCTTATAGTCCACATAGGAGTGAGATCATGTTGTATTCTTTGTCTATCTGGTTTACTACTTAACATGATCTCCAGTTCCATACCTGTTGTCACGGATGAGCACGTTTCATCTATTCTGATGGATGAATAGCATTTTGTTGTGAATATGTACCGCATCATGTTTATGTATTCCTCAGTTAGGGATTCCTCTCAAATTGTCTCCACTTCTTGGCTATTGTGAGTTGTGCTGCGATAAACACTGGAGTGCTGATGTCTCTTGAAATGCTGACTGAATTTTTTAAAATAAACATCCAGTAATGGGATTCACAGATCCCACCAATGGTGTGTAAGAATTTCCTTTTCTGCACATCTTTGCCTTTATCTTTTGTCTTTTGTTATCTTTTGTCTTTTTGATAACAGTCTTTCTTATAGGAATGAAGTGATTTTACAGATTTCATTTGCATTTATCTTATGATTAATGATGTCAATGGCATTTTACACTTTTTAAAAAATTATTTTAAAGAGAATAAAGCTAAACAAAATAAAACAGAATAAAGCCAATCAAACAAAACAGTGGAAGTGATACAGGACTTCAAAATGGGATAATAGGAAATCAACAGTGGCTACCACAATGCCTCTTGTTCTCTTCAAAATTATTGCCCATACCATCAGACACAATAAAATCAAAGGCATTTTAATATAAGGTTTAATATAGGGATGGTATTCAAAATGTTTAACAGCTCCGAGGGTCCTGGCCAGTCTGGCTCATTAAGGAAGGCTGTGGCCTGTTTTCAGGACCAATGCCTCCCTGCCTCGATATCACTCCTGTCTAGGGGGAAGCTTACCAAATACCCCATTTGGGATTCTATCCACTGGTCACTTCCTCAATGTATTCTTTAAAGCCTTCTTTTATAGGTCAATATAAATTTTACTTTTTGGTCTTTGATGTCCAAATATACTACTACTAATAAAAAATCTAAAAACCTATTGCCCTGCATATTTCAATGTATATAGTATATGTTTTTGTTTTATTGGCCAATATTACAAATTTTTAAAATTTTAAAGCAAGCTTTGTTGTCAGAATAAAAAGTGATTCATGCCTGTTACTCATTAGAGATATGGCTATGGGGAATTTTGAAATTTCTCTAAATTTTTGTTTTACTGTAAATATGAATTTTTAAGTTTTTGAAAGGTTACATTATACACTGTAACATTTAGCACTGTATTTGAAACAAAAAGATTACTTAGAAAACATAAGGTAATTCAGTAAGAAATATAAAAATGCACAAGGCATATGCATAAGCAAGAGATACTAACACATACTTCATCTGTCTCAAAAAATAAGCACAAATAAAACTGTGGATATTTTAGTAACATTTACCCCTTGATTACTGTATCTTAAGACTGAACTGACTGCTACCAAAATACAGCAGTCAGTGGCCCAGCTGGGCAGTGTGAGTCTCCTCCACGCGCCACTTAGCAGTGAGAGCACTTGGGTTTCTGTCACAGTAATGCAGGAGGACTGATCCAGAAGAAAACACTCTGAGGGGTGAAACAGCAGGACCCTTATTGCTACTATTTGCAATCAGTAATTTTTACTCTTGAGAACTCAGTGCTGTGAGTTTGTGAGCGATAACAGACATGGAAATACTGCACTTTAACTGAAAGAAAGCCTTTTTGCCCCTGATAACTCCATTATCATGAATTACCATGGAATTCCATGAATTTTGTGCATTTCTTGCACCACTTACTTGGTAATCACAAACATTCTCCCATCTTTGCACAAAACCAGGTCATATTTATGGATCTACTTTGCATATAGTTAATTTATATGTTCATATTTCCCACAATGTAGATACATTTTTAAATAACAAAGAAATTCTCCTAACTTGGTCTACTAGAGTGCCCTGTTTTAGATTAGTCTGATTATTTCATAGATCTGAACTTAATAGCAGCAGTTACATTCAGGTTTGGTGAACAGAGCTCAATTTTCCTGTGGCTTCTCAGAGAGTGGCCGCAACATTCCTACATTTTCTCTTGCACTAGGGTCATTACATCAATGCAGATTTTTCAGTGTTTCAAATTAAATAAATCTTCAGCAATTGAGCACTGCTGCTATTGGCAATGACAAATTATTTGGAGGCATTAGGTCATGTATATCGTGATACTGTCTGATCCTCTTCTTTCTCCTCCTCCTCCTCTTCTTCCTCCTCCTCTACCTCCTCCTTCTCTTTCTCCTCCTCTTCCTTTTTCTTCTTCTTCTCCTCCTCCTTCTCTCTCTCCTTCTCCTCCTTCTTCTTCCTCTTCCCCTTCCTCTTCTTCCTCTTCCTTCTCCTGCTGATCCTGCTCCTCCTCCTCCTCTTCCTCTTTTTCTTTTAAAAGAGAAAGTGAGAGGAAAAAGGAATGCTATCAACATTGCATCTTTCCAGTTTCAGTATTTATTTTTCTTCCTAGAATTCCTTTCTCAGATGTTTGGCGTGTTTATGGAGGCATTTTATTTCTCTCAGAGATCACAAAAGAAACTTCTTTCTCACACATAAAACAACTTATTATCCACGAGAAATACAAAGTCTCAGAAACTGGTAATGACATTGCCTTAATAAAACTTCAGTCGCCCTTGAATTTTACTGGTACGTAGCATACTTAAGGGGAAAATTGAATGGCTGATCTGTATTGATTTAAATGTTCACATCAATTTGAATGATCTGCAGACTGTCTTTATCTTCCGGTTTGGTGCAATTAGTGAAAGGTGAGGGTTGCCAGATAAGTGAAGTTACTAGAATTTTTCCTAAAACGTTTTCAATTCAAAGGCAAGAAATGTTAATTAGTTCTTTCAGGGAGGAATTGACATACATGCTTGAAATAGTACAGACATGAAATCTGTTTGCCATCTGGGACACTGGCTTTCCTTTGGCAAGAGCAGCTCAAGTACCATGGCTTGGATTTAGGAATCTTCAGTCTATATAAGAACAAGCAGGACCTGATGCTCATTGCTAGGAGTAACTTGAGGAGAAAAGAGACTAATACAGAAAGAAGCTCTGGGAAACCTTGAGCATCAAGGCTGTTTTGTAGGTACAGTGTCTACAGAAGTTAAATGCTCATTAACACAATTATTTATTAATAGTAGCAATTATGTGACCTTGAACAACCTGCTTTTTCTCCTTGCATTGATAATTTCCTCATTCATAATATGAGAATGATGATTTCTTTGTGAAAGGTGATATATATATATATATATATATATATACATGTATATATAAAATAACTTCTAAATACTTTAGACAGTAAGTGTGGTTCTGAATTTTCCTTTCATACAGAAAACTTTAATGCCAAAAAATACCATGTAAGAATGACAGATGGGTAGAAAGTTTCTAGAATCATTTACCTTGAACTTCACAAAAAGCAGAACATTCATTCTTGGGTCTACACTGTGGGAAGAGGAAGGGAAATAAGGTGTATTTTTAAAGCCACTATCTGTAAAAGTTTAACCAAAATCTAATTTTAAAATTACTTTTCAGAATTCCAAAAACCAATATGCCTACCCTCCAAAGAGGATAATACAGTTTATACCAACTGCTGGGTAACTGGATGGGGCTTCAATAAGGAAAAAGGTACAGCCTGACACTCCAGCTGTTCCCCGAACCAGACCTTTGTGTTAAAATACATGCAGTCAATCAGTTTAATCCACATCTGTCATGACTCATAATCTTTTCAATCTATTTATTTTTAAGTATTTGTTCAGTGAAAAAATTCATGAGGTGACATTTGAAGCATCTTATTTCACAATAAAGATTATTTGCTTGACATTGTATAAATGATGGTCCTGTAGCGCCATGAGCACAGGGAAACCCATAAGTTAATAGTGTCCCTACCTCTCTATACCATGTTCTCCCTTGATACTAATGGCTAGTAGTATATGGATTCTCTTTCTTTCTTTATTGTTCCAAGAATCAAACTCAGGACCTTGTGCCTGTTGCTGAGCTGTATCCCTGACTCCTGGATAATGGTATAGATCACCATGTCGTCACCTCTCTTTAGAGCCAGTACAGAGTATATTTTTATGTATCTCGTTGCAACTTAATGGAGCCTCTAAATGATTTCTCTAAAATTTCTTTGCATATTTAAATAACAACATGTGAAGTACTAATTGTTTCTATTCTCCTATTATTTTGTTGTGAAGTTTTGTTTTACCTTTTTTCCATAAAATAAAAAATAATTTATTTTTTAAAACCTAGATTATAAAGAAAACCAACTTAGATTGTAACGTAGTCATCAAAATATATTGAGTATGTGATATAGTGGTATATGAGCTTATTTATTGATGTAAGAAATAGCAAGCTTTAAAAATAACTATAGTATTTTTAAACAATGATGATAAATGATCTATAGCTTATTTACAAAGCTATAATATGTTGTAAAAGACTCTGTGATCTTATGCTGTAAATAGTACTCTGTTGCCTATAATTTTAACTACAGAAAGCGTTAGTCTTCAGTTGGACTTTAATGAAAATAGAGTATTTTTTTTAAATCTGAGTTTAAGGACCATGTGATTCCTTGTAGACCATAAGTTAAGAATCCCTGCTTATAATTACTCAGATTATTTTAGTTTTCCTAAAACTTTTCCACAACGGACCATTTTTCCTTTCCAATATTAAGATCCTGATAAACACCATAGAGAATAATATTTACACTTTTTGTAACAAAAAGTAATAGCTGACCAAGCTCTCCCATTTTTCCTGAATCCTCTCTGTATTTAACAAATTCAAATTTTTCACATGTTTAACTAATATCTTTGAGACAGGAACAAAAGTGAACAAAAATTGTTAAACAAAAAAATTATTAACACATGTCCAAGGGGAACCTGGACGTAGGTAGCAATTATCTGTAAGTAAATTGTTCTTCATGAAAAACGTGTTTGCTCAAAGAACAAAATGTTCCTTTGTTGTCAAATGTTTGAGATTTATCTTAAGAACTGATATATTGTACATTATAATTTTGAGTATGCAAAACAAAACAGTGAAAAATAAGAATGTCCAGGCTTTTGATTAGTAGATAATAAACATACAAAGGAATTTCATGGAGAATTCTTTTGAAAGGAGAGGAAGGCAAGGAATATGGAAGTCTCTATTCAGCATGAGTGATGGAATTGTAATAGTGCATGAGACAGAGTGAAAGCTCTCCAAGTCCAGCTACTTGTGGAGGGGAAGTCTAAGGCTTGAGGATCCCAAGTTCAAGGCCACCCTGAGCAGCTTAGCATGGCCCTGTCTCAAAATAAAATATGAAAAGAACTGAGGCTGGGGGAAGATTGGCAGCTCAGTGGCACAGCACTGGCCTGGCATGCAGGAGGCTCCAGATTCAATCACTAGCACACAGGAGAAAGAGAGGGAGAGAGAGAGAGAGAGAGAGAGAGAGAGAGAGAGAGAGAGAGAGAGAGAGAGAGAGAGAGAGAGAAGGAGGAGAAGAGGAGGGAGAGGAGGAGGCTGAGGCGAGGCTAAAGCATCTCTCTCTCTCTCTCTCTCTCTCTCTCTCGCACACACACACACACACACACTCAGTGACTATATTTTTGATACTTGCTGCCTATTTTTATTAAAAAATATGACTCCAGTACCAGACATCATCCTGATTTGCTTGAAGGCTTTAGACTGATTTTCATATTTATTTCCTCCCTCTAAAGTTATATAACGGTTACTTCACAGGTGAACTCCAAAATGTTCTACAAAAGGTGAATATACCTTTGGTAACAAATGAAGAATGCCAGAAAAGATACAGAGATTATGTCATAACAAAACAGATGATCTGCGCTGGCCACAAGGAAGGGGGTAAAGATGCTTGTAAGGTATGTATTAGACTACGCAAAAATGCACAGTAGTTCATTTGAGATAATTCACTTCAGAACATATTTTCCAATAGTATATTTCATTAAAATATTTTTAAAATTCAGAGACAAATAAATAAATAAAATGTACATCATGGAGTACTTATGAGTACTTATGGCACAATCTGTATGTGTGCTATACTTAATAAGAAGTATAATTGAATATGCAAGTGATTATTCCTAAAACATACATTCGGGATAAAGATGTCAAATATGTTAGATTTTCCTCAAAATAAAAAAGGAAATAAACTGAAAAAACAACCACACACTCATTGTCATCACACATTTGGCAACCAACAAGGTACCTGAAAAAATTTAAGAGGCTGTGTGTGTGTGTGTGTGTGTGTGTGTGTGTGATGCCTGAAGTGTAACTGCAGAATTTTAAAAGCAATGATTTATTTTAGTCACTTCTGTTATAACTTTGTATCATTTCACTTTTCTACTCCCCATGACACAGGGAGACTCTGGCGGCCCCTTAGTCTGTAAACACAATGGAATATGGCGGTTAGTGGGCATCACCAGTTGGGGTGAAGGCTGTGCCCGCAAGGAACAACCAGGTGTCTACACAAAAGTTTCTGAATATGTGGACTGGATTTTACAGAAGACTCAGAAAGGTGATGGGAATGTTTTAATGGCACCGTCAGCATGAAGAAGCTGTCTAGTGAAGAAAAGCCCAGCCTGTAGCAGTAGTTTACAGTCTGGGTTCAAGTCAGTGAGCCTTGGAGTCCTTGTCTGTAAAATCTAAAGAATGGATCTACTTCGAGTCCTTGTCATAAAGATAAAAACATACGTAGCTGGTAAGGACAGTGCCCTGCTGAGTTGTGCTGGTAGCATTCAGTAACCAGGAGCTCATAATGAAGAACAGCGGAAGCACTTTGGAATTGTGTGTTGTAAAATAAAGTGGAAAAAGAGCATATTAGAAGTATTTCCCTCTGGCTGTGAAACAAAACTGAAAACAAGTGACTCTGGATTCTAGCTCATTGTTCGCTAGAACTTAACTCTTCCCGCTATGCTTGGGGTGAGAATCCAGGAAGTTTGGGTGCTGTCCAGTGAAAGAAAGAAATCTAATATTGTCTTTTACAATAAAAAGATGGATTATCTGATCTTGGGAGAATAGGACACCTTTCCATTCAAGCTGCTTGCGTTTGTTCTTGAATCTTGAAGCAAGGGTCTAGGCTGTGTGTACAGAGGACACCTGTAAGGCTGCACTTTCCTGGTTGCAGATTCTGCAGTAGATTCATTGCAGAGCTTTCAGGGAGCACAAAGAATCTGCTTTGCAAAGAACATTAGCTCAGAAGGCTCAGTGGATACTGAGTTGTGCAATGGTAATGCAAAACCATTGCTAGGTATAAAGTATTGCATAAAATTTGATCTTGTAAAGTTATGGTAGTAAGTAGTAGCTGTTAGCCTTGGAATGGAAGATATGAATTGTATACAGTGCAAATTGCAAACTCACCAGTGATTACCACAATTGAGCACAGGCAGTTTGATTTAGTTCAGTTAAACTGATTAACGTGTACACAAGATCTACCAGTGACAAACTATTGTGTAAGTGAAGTGGAAAAATAAGAAGTAGAGTTTTCTAAAAGATTAAATTTTCTTCCATATGCCAAGATACATTGAGTGGTAGAAAGGAATTAAGAGGAGGAGGCTAACGGAAAACCAGGAGGTCCTGGTTACCCACAGCCCATGCCATTGGAGGCTGAGGAGGTAAGAATTATTCCAAAAGCAATGGCTTTTCTAAAATCTGGCTAGGTTGCATGAACTGTTTTTCTAAAAGCACACAATTACAATGTCTACTTTTAGATTCAATAAAGATTTTAGTGTTGTTATGTGTGGAAGTTGTTTCATATCTAAAAGAAAAATGTTTTGTAATGAAAATCTTTTATCTTGGAATTTCATTGTTGATAAATCTAGCCTGTATTGTACAGGACTTTGGAGCGCCTGCAGGGTAACCCTCTGGCTTTTGTTGTCCAGCAAATGGCCTCATTTAAGCAAAACAGGAGAGTTTTGAAATGTGGCACTTTCCTGGGGTATAAACTATCATTTCAAAGTTGCTAATTGGAACCTTGTGGCACTGGAACTTTTGTTTGTTTAGGTTTTTTTCCCCACTGTCTTGCATAGTACATGGAGGAGCCCTTCACACAGCCACAGCTCCATAGGACTAAGACATACACAAGCAGTTACAAAAGTAAGAGGTAGAAACGATGTCACCTTCACAGGAAGAGTGAAGGTGGCAGAGCCATGCCAGAAAATGTGGCTATGGTCCCAGTCCTAGAAAGAGTCAATCAGAGACACCACGGGGATGCAAGGCAGATTCACTCCTGGGCCTTAACTCAGGACCTATTACCCATTAAATATAGCTCCCCCTCGTTCTCTCACTCTCCCAAACAATCCGATCACACTGAAAAATAGGTGCATATCTAAAGCCCACGGCCTTGTCATAACATCTCATGTATGCACTAGATGAGAAAATAAAGCTACTAGGGATCAGTTCAGAAGGACAGAGAACAGATTTTCTGGTCCTTAATCTATTACTCATTAAAAGCATGATTTGTATTTTCTTCTGAAGGAGTCAGAGACTTCACAGCTGCTTTTACTAAAACAAAACAAAACAAAACAAAACAAACCCTAATTTTTCACTTGGGCCTACAGTTACCCATGGAGTAACAAAAAGCAGGGTAAAGATTGACCTTTCTGTCTTCATTTTCTATCCCCTTCTATCAGATATCTAGCTCAATGCTGCATATAGGCATGTTAATCACTTAGAGTGTCTAAAACCAGTAATACAAGGTTTAGTAGCTCTAAATTTCCCAAACCAATAGCAGCCTCTTTGAAGACTGAAGAGATTTTTGGTACATTTGACCACCAGCTTTTCCAGCATCCTCCTAAAGACACTCTACAATAGTCATCTAAAAGTCTCTTTTCATTGCCCTAAACCTGCATTAACTTTGGATTCCAGCAGAGCCTCTGCAGAACTGAGGTTACCCTTACTCACAAAGCAGAAGCAAATCATTCCAGAGGAGCCTGACTGCCTCTCGAGCTGCAACAACTTCTCCAGAGCTACAAAATCAGAATTGAGATAATAACAGACCTTAGCACATCTAAGCAATTCCATACAACCTGGTTCCTTTCCTTTGTTGATTAGAACTATGGCCTCTCAGTTCTTCTCCCTAAAATTAAATTATTTTCTATTTTATCTTTATGTTTTTCTATTAAAGTTTTGCACTTAAATTAATGTTGCTGGTCCCAGATGACAGGGCTGGCTGGAAGAGTTCTTACTCTGCACCCCTCCATAACATCCCTGATAGTGGGGCCAGCTGGAAGGCAATGAGTTAATGCTCTAGGCCACCTCCATTACTCCCAACGCCCACCCCAGACAGCAAGGTTGGCTGGAAGAATATAAGACCCAGGACAGCAGCCAGGTGCACCGATGCACACACATTTGGAGGGTGAAGTAATCAGTGAGGCCAGTAATGTCTGGCCTCTGAAGCAGCAGTGAGCAGACTCTAGAGAATTCTACCATGGAAGACCACTGAAACTTTCTGAAATGATAACCACAGAAGTGAAAAAACAAATGGAAAAGGCTATAAAGAAAATGATTCTTATGCAGAAAAAGAAATTATGCTTAAATAAAAGATAGAGAAGATACCAATAGTAGATGAAGTTAGTGAAAGATGAAAACAAATAATGTCCAACACAGGAGAGAAATGGAATCCATGAAACAGATCTAAGCAGAGATCCAGAAGATTAAAACCTACACTGAAAGTATATGCAACAGACTAAACCAACAAAAGGAGAGAATTTTAGATTTTCAAGACAGAATTGCAGCTAGTGATCATGAAAGATGTCTCAAAAATAGCAAGAGAACATGAGAAATCAATCAAAAGCAAGGAAGAATAATACAAGATTGATTTGGGTCAATGAGAAAACTGGACACAGCAAAAATGCCATAACAATCATAAATATATACGCATCTAATACAGAAGCACCCAACTATGTAAGACAGTTATTGGTCAACATGGAAAATCAAATGAGCAATACTAACACATGCTTACCAGGAGACCTCCATACCCCACTGTCACAGAGAGAGCAACTAGACAGAAAATCAGCAAAGAAATATCAGAACTGAACCAAACCTGTGAACAGAAGAAGCCAGGCCCTAAGGCCCCACTGCCATCAGGAGAGCATTGGTAAACCACCACCCCGTGGCTCTCCACCACTCCAGGAACCCCAGATCAGAGGAACCCACATGCCTAGCCCAATACACTACACCAAGGGACTGGCAGCCAATTCAGGAAGTACCGGGAAGAAGCGATGGGCTGATCCTGAGAAACACAGGATAATGTCAAGACAGAGGAGCAAAATACCATCACAGTCCTCCAGCCTACACAGAATAAACTCAGGAGACACAGACATAGTACAAGTTAGAGATCACACGCCTGAAATTTCTAAAAAGATAACAACTGAAGTAAAGAAGCAACCTAGTTCTTGTATTGTTTGGTTAATTTTACATACCTATGTCTGAAGGTCTGGACAGCTATTTTGAAGATAACAAGAGGCATTATGATAGCTGTTGTTATTTCCTATTATCTTGTTTTGAAGTCCTGGATCATTTTCATTGTTTGGTTTGGTTTGGTTTTATTCTATTTTGTTTTGTTTGATTTTATTATATCTGATGATATAGGCAGCTATTTTGAAGATAATACGATACATTATGGTACCATTGTTGATTTCCTACTACCTTATTTTGAAGTCCTACATGACTTTCACTGTTTTGTTTTAATTGGCTTTATTCTGTTTTGTTTCGTTTTACTTTCTTTAAAATAAATTTTTTTGTAAAAAGTAAGGTAACGTTGCTGCTCAGATCTCATTTCCAAGTATCCGTGAACAAGAATCCATATTAACCAGTAACAGGAGCTGACATAGCTCTTGCCCTGGGCCAACAGCAAGTGTATAGGATACACACAACTCCTCATAGGCAGTCAGTCAGGAGCTCTAACTTAAGCCTCTAACTTATACACAAATCTTTTCTTTTTATTATTGTTATGCCTATTTATTCCACTAAAATATGGGCAACTTCAAATGAGATCTTCTTTCTCTCTCATTCATACTGCTACAAATTCATTAAATATCTCATGAATAAAAACTTTTTCTCATAAACATAAGACATGGGAGACTTGAGGAGATAAAAAGATTAACTCAAGTTCATGGACATGGACAGAGCTAGAACTAAGCTTGGCATTCATATTTCTGATAACATCTTCTAGATCTGTCTCATATTGTCTCATGATATAAGAAGGATGAAAGATGACAAGCATCTACTACTATCATTTGTTATTTTTTATTATCTATCATCTGAAAATGGTTTGATCTTGTCCCCTTCCTAGGACATTTGGCAATGTCTATAGATTGTCCATAGGATGTTTTAGTTGTCTTAACTGTGGAAGGCAGTGCCACCAGATGCAGTTGGTAGTGGCCAGGGATGCTACTAATCATCCTGTAGTGTACAGAATAACCACTCATAGTGATGAATTATTCCACCACAGTGCCAATAATGCTAGGATTGAGAAAACCCTCAGTTTAAAGTTCAGCATTCAACTTGATTATAAAAAATGTTTATTTCAAGAATAACAACAAAGCAGGGTTGCAAACCATGGCAGGATGTGTCCTTTGTCAAATGAATTCTGATGAACATGCGAAGTTCCAAGAACAAATCATCTCCATGAGAACTGTGTAGTCCTTCTTCCCTCAGAAGAAGGAGTTAATGTCATAATATGTCCTACACATTTCATACCTATAAGCCTAATTTCTAACTTACATGTAGCTTTTTAAAAGTAAATTTTAGTTTCGTCCTGAAATTTTGTCTAATTTTTTTCAAATTTGATTTGGCTTAAAAATATTTGTTTCACTGAAAAAATATTTAACTTTAAAATAAAATTAAATCAACATCAGATTTTTAAATTGCAATGAGTTTGTTGAAGATTTAGATGAACTGCTGTCACTTTGAAAAGTATTTCTATGCAGTTAAGACTCCTATTGTACTTTGACTGAATAGACAAAAATATTTCAGAATTCTTATACTATCTCAAAGTCCTTACAATTTTTTTCTAATTAACAGTCAAATATAGGAAACATTGTCTGATTTTTCAGTGAATCATTCTCTAATTTAAAGTCTTTCTATTTCTCCCAACAGAGTTGGAGTTTATCATTATCTCCTTTTCACTGAGGCCACAGTAGAGAGATGGAATTTCAGGGAGTAAACAGTACAGAGGATACATAATATTACATATCAGTTTCCATGAAAATCTTTCTTGGTATGAATTTGTCATTTTGTGTTTAAGCCTCATAAAAGATCAGGTGTCGTATCTAGGCACTTTTTATGTGACTGGCATGCATTTAATTTTAAATGGGAAACTCAAGACAGTAACTAAGGACTTCTTATGCCAAGATGAGTAACAATACATTGGCAGTGGATGAAATAAAAACATCTGAGTAGCTGCCTTCTGACAGAACAAAAGAACAAAGAAGTAGCACCTCGTGTTAAGTCTTAGTTCACCCCTCGTACCTTTGTCTTTCTGCTCTGTGGGACAAAACGCTGGTTTCTTGCTTCTTTTGAAAAATCTCCCCTCGGTTCACAGGGGACTAAGTTTCACATTTACCTTTACTTTGCTAAACATGCTCGCATTGTACTCTTGGTAAACAGTTCTGTTTTTTGCCCCTTCAGTATGAGATTTTAATAGAGCTCTCAAGTGTTGTTCATCTTGAGTCATTTTGTCACTCAGCCTTTGGGCACCGGGGCACAGATACCCTAAAGCTTCAGAATTATTCAGACTGCCATTGACAATATTGCTATGATATATAAGAAATGAGATTGTCTCTTTTTGTCCCCAAACATTGAAATACTCAAAATCAACTGGTGACATTTTCCTAGGTTCAAAAGATCACACTCGGATTAGCACATTGTCCCTGAACAAAGTGCAGTGTTCTTTGGCACACACAACTTCAGCAAGATCTGGTAAGGTGGACACACTTGTGCTTTCTGCTCTGGGCTTCAGAATATTTTTCAAAAATATCCCAGTTGTAAATTCTCATTCTGATTTAGCTTCTCTATGGAAAATTGGGAGCCTTCCCTGAAGCATAAAACTCTTTCTTTAAACTTTACTTAATTCAGACACTAAAACATTTTTGTTTTTGTTGTCACACAGAAATCCTTAGGGCTGTTTAGTGTCTCATATTATAAACAAGCCAAGAGAGAGAAAGGAACATGACCAGTGTTCAAACACAGCTGGTCTACACTGTTTTCAACTGGGTTGTGCTCAAGTGACATGAGTAGAGAACGGGTAGGTCTGGGTAACAGAGAACAGGAGTTATTCAGCTCTCAAACACAGCCACGTGAACCTCAAAATACTGTTTCACAAAGCACAAACTACACTAGCCTTCCTCTTGCGAGGCTTCCACCGTACAGGTCCCCGTATCCTTCCGGAAACCAAGCTCTGGTTTCATTATTACTTGATTTCTAGCAACCAAACTTGTTAATTCCTAGATCTTTGTGTCTTAATATCCTGAGATCTAAAAACATTATGAGAAAGGCTGGGGACATAGTTCAGTGGTAGAGCAATTGCCTGGCGTATCCAAGGTCTTGGTTCCACCCCAAAACTGCCAAAACATGAACAGAAATAAATAACAAAATCTATGCACACATCATAATTTTTAGGGAAAAACATCAGAATGTATTACCTCATTCATAAATGAGGTAATGAAAGGCATGCCTCCTTAGAATTAACCATACTTGTATAAGCTTCTGAAAATATAACAACTTATAAAGGAAAACTGAATCTGTAAGGACAGAAGACTGATAATCTGTAGTTTCCTTTTTGTCTAGCTGCCAGCTTCCAGCAGCTGAAGTCGCCTCCTTTTACTATAATACAAATCAATAAGTACAGCGGACTCTCCATATTTGGTAGACTTTGGCACTGAAGTTAGGATAGAATTAATCGTTAACAATTGGTGTCTAAAACTGTGTCCCCTCTGCATGAAGCTTTGGCTAGCAGGCATACAAAATGCAAGTCTGCCCAAATGCCAGTGCACAGAGGCAAATTCACACTCCAGCTGTCTTTGCATGTGTCACTTATACGTATGTGCAATTAAGAGAAAATAAACAAACAATGTATAGAAAATACTAACAATACTCCTAAGGTGCCAATATGCAGGGATTTTAAAGGCTTTTTCAGATATGTGGCACAAAGAGACATTGTTCCATAACATTGGAAATCGATAAAAGTAAATATTAAAGTTAAGTAAATGTCACCTGTGCAAGCTTCTTTAGAAAAGAATGAAGACCTTTTTGGAAGAAGACAAATGTGCTTACCGAGAATAGCAGCAAATAAACAAACCCGATATTTACAGGTAGGTTTTCAAAAACGACTTCACGTTTCTCTCAATCAGTTATGCCTTGAAATGCTTTTTTCTATGATGAGACTTTAAAAATTTGCAGTATAGAATGGTTGATATTTAAAATGTGTCTGATTTACTATTTTAAAGGCATTTAGATAATGTCTATATTTGAAAAAGGAAGCCGAATTAAAGCAGAGTAGTACTTAAGTGTAAGTTGTAAATTTAAAAAATATTCAAGAACAATGCTGTAAACTCCAGACTTTTTCTTACCTATGAATCAGGTTATTTTGTTTTATTTTGTTTTTGTATAACAATCTACTCAGTGTTTAGTGAGTATAAATACATTTATAAGGGACCAAAATCATCTATTAATATATTTACAACAGATGTTTTTAAAAGTAAGTAGAAAACCATCTTGAGCTCATTGATAGGTATAGAGAGAGATCACAAATATGAAAGGAAAGGAAATGAATTTGCAGAGAAAGTACCCATGGACTATTGAGGTGGTAGAGGGGTCAGACGCTGGTGACAAGAGATTTGAAGAGTGAGGGAAGAAGGAAAAACCAGGGAGAGGACGCGGCCCCTCAGCCCCGGGTTCTGCAGAAGAGCAACAATACGGATTACCACACACAAACCGACCTGAAGGATGATCTAGGATTCTGAAGTAAAATTCAGCACTATAAAAACAAGCTTGTCAACAACCATCAAATTATCTACTCCATTTCCTTGTAAATTCTGGTATCGGTAATCTAATTGTCAGTTTACATTTTATGTTCTAAAAGCACGAACATTTTTCTCCCTGTAGGATGTCCTTACTGTGCCTAATGGTGCATTGCATTTTGTTTGCCTCAGTTTCTGGCGGTAAGTAGAATCTTCAGTGTGGACAAGAACTAGTTTCATTCTGTGATCTGTGAACTAAAAACGAGAACAGAAGTCTCCATCAGGAGCTCACACAATTTTCGCATGCACGTTGAAGAATCCTGTGCCATCTACGCCAGAGGAGAAATAAATGTTTTATTTTTCACTTAAACCTCTAGGTATTTTAAAAGAGAAGAAGGTATTATATTTATTGCATTTAATTTCTGATACTGTTTCTAGGATTTTAGTGATAACGAACTTTTCACTGGTGTATGTGAAAATATCAAATCTAGGCAGACATTTAACATACAATAAATCCCATACAACATGTTAAATAATATAGTTTATAATTTCACTTTATTTGTGGCATGACTGTTTTCCAGGTTATTATAGTCCTTTATTGCTATTATTTCAAAATTATATTGTTATGTTGCTATAAACATGTCAGTATCAACTCAATTGAAGTATTCTGACCATTTATTTTAATAACTACCGCTCTCTCTATATATAATATATAATATATATTCTTTATACAAGTATATGAAGGATTGATAAATATATTCTTTTCACAGGTATATGGAGCATTAATAAAAATTGACCACATATAAGTCTCTAAAAGAAGTCTCAACAAATTTTATAAGATGAAAATTATATAGAACATGGAAATGAACTAAATATTTATAAAAAAGTAATAGGAAAATTCCGAAGGTTTGAAAAGCTGGTTAAGTGTATCATTTTTCACCAACATAGGACAAAAATATCATAATGAAAATTTTATTTTAATTAAAATATGAAATAAAAACATGTTGGGATGTGGCTGAGGCTAAGATCAAATGATCTTTATAAGATTTATGTGTACACACTAGAATAGATGAAAGACAAACATTTATGATAAGTGTACAACTCACAAAAAGAAAAAGATTCCAGGAAATTAAATGGAAAAAATTAGAAGGCATAAAAAACAAGTAGAGAAAATAGTAGCAATAAACTGAGTGGAAAGTAACATGGACCAGAGATGAACATGAATATACTCTGCAGTGTGACATCAGAATCTGTCAATGACTTTCTGTGAAAGGAAAAACTTCTGTGTTTTTTATATGTGTACATGCACAAAGCACAAATGAAATATTAACAAGCTTAACTCAGCAGTAGGATGAAGAAAAATAAAAGGATGATTACAATGTAGCAGTGTAAAAAGGTTAGATTATTTTCAGAAATGAAGTGAATTTAATATTCAGAACTGAATAGACGCACTACTTTTGGTGTATACCTAAAAGACGTAAAAGCAGACACTCAAACAGATCTTTGTATTCCTGGTTTCATCACTGTAGTATAAATGATAGCCAAAAAGTGAAAGCAAGTAGGCTTTGGGGGACACTTGTCCAAAGCATAGCACAACCCAAGTATTTATCAACAGATTAATAGACAAATAAAATGCAGTACATGTACGTAATGGAGTGATACTCAGACTTTACAAAGGAAGACACAAGATACAACATGGATGAATCTAGTGGACATTACACTAGTGTAATAAGCCAGTCACGAAAAGACAAAGACTATCCGATTCCATTTAGATAGTATATGTAGAGTAGTTAACTTTGAGAAAAAGAAAGTAGCATAGAGGCTTCCAGTTGGGGTGGATTGGGAGGACGGGATATTATTTTAATGGGTACAGAGTTTCAGTTGGAAAAGTTGAACAAGTTCTAGTGATGAATGGTGGCCGTGACCGTATAGCAGGGTAAGTGTACATATTGCCTCAAACTGCACTTCAAAAGAGTTTCAATGGTAAAAAATTTTAATCTTTTAAAATTTTTCCTAGCACACACTTGCAGTACGCAATAACTATATTCATGTTGGGGAATTGGGACATATATAATATATCCTAATTCTGTTTTTCATTCTTTTCCCCTCCTCTCCTTACTGCTCTATCTCTTTACATTATGTATATTCTATCACAATAAAAATTTAAATAATTTGATAAATCAGTACATACAGAAAAATATTTGATAAAATTTTATTCATGATAAAACTTTTAATCTCAAAACAGGAGGGTACATTCTTCATCAAATAACAGGTAAATTGATATGAACAGACAAAAATTCAAATCAGAAAGGTGGTGGAGAACTTACTATTTAATGCCTAATTATCGACACCTTTTCTAAGGGATTGAGAAGACAGGAATACCCTCTGTTACCTCTGTTAAGCATTGTGCTGGAGGTCCCAGTCAGCACAGCAAGGAAAGCAAAGAAATAAAAGCTAAAGGATTAGAAAAAAAATTAACTCTAATTGTCTGTAGATAATATGATGACATACCTAGAAAAATCCAAAATAATCAGCAAAAATTGTTTCGATCAAATTAGCAAGAAGCCTAAATATTAATTCAATAAACAAGAAGAAAAAACCCATCAAAATTTACTATCCCCAGAAACTATGTTTAGATTTTGAAAATAAATCTGCCTTTGTAATTAAATGATTCAGTTAAGAGGGGATGTAGTCTAAGAAAATTAGTGTATTTATTAGCTATCCAAAACCTAATTTAATTTGCTAAGCAGTTAACACTGCTCTTCTTGTAAGCAATATTTTAATGTAGTGCAATTTTTTGTAGCAAATGATTGGTATCTGGGGTTTTGGCGACTGCCATATAAATGGGTTGGAACTAACCCAGAACTTGAGGAAAAGAGACAAATCTCATGGTCACTCTTGGAATACTTGTCAACTTTAGAGAAAATCATGTTGTATACATGTGTGGTCATGTGTGGGTAATTTTGAAGGCACATTAGTAAGTTTTTGAATCTGGTTTGTTGCAGGACTTTGGCCCTCTTTAGATATCTCTTTCAAGAAACAGAAGATGTTTTAAAGTTTTTGTGACTTAGCCTTTTAAAAGTAAAGGTCTATTTAACAAAGAGGGATTTAATAATTCTTCTGAGACTCTATATTTCATAAGCAAATAGTTCACTTGAAGTGGTGAGGTGCTATGCACAGTACATTAACATATTGAGGGTCATCACACAATGCAATGATTACTCCAGAGCAATTGTTTTACACAATCACCGAGTATGAACACAGAAGCACTGCATCATGGAGGCCATTCTAGACATAAATGAGATGCTAAAGGGCATCTTTTTAGCAGGTAAAGACTGAAAAATTAGTTATCCACAAACATCTGTGGACAAGTGTTCATACAGGGGATGCCATTGAGGTAAATGTGTCTCATGATTTTCTTTTCCATCTGTGCTTGTTTACTTGAAATTAGCGCAAAAATTCCAGTTTGACTTTTGTAAAAGACCTGAACTTTGTTTGCATCTTTAAAAATTATTTTTTATCAGTACGTGTTGTAGTACATGATAATTACATTTCTCATGGGGAACTCCCCATGTACGTAATACATCTTAATTCCTACTTTAATCTCCTTCCTCTCTCTTACCTCCCCATTCCCTCTCTCTTCATTTCCTTTCTTTTTGCAAAATTTCCCTGTTTTCTAGGATCTATTTTTTATTTTGTTCTTTATTTATATTTTGGGTTTTTCATACAAGAGAAACCATGTGCTATTTAAGCTTGTATGTCTAATTTATTTTCACTTAACATTGTGATCTCAGGATACATTCATTTTCCTACAAATGACTCAAATTTATCCTTTTTAGGGCAGTGTAATACCACTTTATTCATTCATCTACTGATGGACATTTAGCTGCTTTCAAGATTTAGCTATTACGAATCATGCTGCTATTAACATGGCTATGATATATCAGTATGGTATGATGTCTTTAGCATTTTCAGGAAGATACCTAGAAGGGGAATGGTAGGTTAGAATGGAAATTCTACCTTTGAGGAATCTCTGTACTGATTCCCACAGTAGTTGCAGTAGCTTACATACCCACTAAAGATGCAGAAGGATTCCTTTTGCCCTGTAGCTTATGTCCAGCTTCAGGCATATTTTCTGTACGGAAGGCTCTTTGTCTGTTAGGTTATTATCTATGTGCTTCCCCAACTTCAAAATAATATTTGTTGTGCATCATACCACAGAATGTGTGACTAAGCTATTCAAAGACAGCAACTTTGAAGGAGGAGACATCGATACAGTTTTTGCACCAACTGCCAAATACTGCCAGGTGATCTGTACCTACCACCCGAGATGTTTGTTCTTCACGTTTATGGCTGAATCGGCATCTGAAGATCCTAGCAAATGGTAAATGTTTATGTTTCTACATAAAAGAACTGCATTTCACAAGCCAGTTACCTACCAATAAGTTTCTATGATTATATAAAAGAAAGTGTTAGCAACTGAAAAATAAATTGTCTTTCAGTTATAATATTGAATATTACAGGAAAAAAAATGGTGTTTAGGCCAGATTAGGAAAGAATTTGGTGCTTCTCAGTGTTGCTTTCTCAGCTTCTTTTGAGGTTCTAATATTAAGGGTTCTCTCTCTCTCTCTCTCTCTCTCTCTCTTCCTTTCTTCTTCCTCTCTCTCTCTCTGTCCCTTTCTGCTTCTCTCTCTCCCTCTCTTCTTCTCTCTCTTTTCCATTTTATCAGTCTTTATCAGTTTGTTCTTTGTTTTTCTATTGATTATTGATACTTCATATTATTTAACAGAGAATTATTCAACTGTCTTGTTCCAAAAAAATGCACAAAGTTAATTTTAAAAAATTATACAATGATCATCTGACAAGACTCTGTCATTTTGCTTCATAGACCAACAGATGTAGCACACATAGACACATGCTAACATTTGAAATAATTTTTAAACATCATGATATTTTACTTCTAAGTATTGCAACATGGATGGTCCCTCACAAAATGTATAAGAAATATATTTATTTTATTTATTTATCTTTTATTTGAAAATTGATAAAACCAAGGAAAATAAAACAGAAGAAAACCAATAAAAAAATTAACCCATACAAGTGATACAGAACTTCAAAACCTTATAGAACCAACAATAGTTACCGTAGTACCTTTCGTTGTCTTCAAAATAGCTGCAAATACTTTCAGACATAATACAAATCAAACAGATCAAAATAGAATAGAGACAATAAAGCCAAAACACTGAGTGCAATAAAAGACTTCAAAATAGGCCACTAGTAAATAAAAAGTGGCTACTATAATATCTCTCGTTATCTTTCAAGCCGTCAGATTTAACATAATCAAACAAAATGAAAGAGTTAAATAAAACCCAACCCACAAAACGGTGATGATATGGTTTTCCTGTCAGGATCCCCTCCTGGTGAGGCCTCTGGTTCTCTCCCTTCACAGTCCACGAGTGGTGCAGACACACTCACAGAGAGAGGCTTGGGTGTCTGTATAAGAAGTTCAACAAGACTTTTTTTTAAATAACATTTTCAGTTGTCTCCCAAATGTAATTTATAGCTATTACTAGAATCCTTTAAAAATCCAGAATCATCATCGTTTTATCTCTAGTCATGTTTCTAAAATTTTGTATCTTCTGCATAACACTTTTGTTTCAGTGTTGAACTTGAAAACTCAATAATCTAGCCTCTCTGCTAAAATCAAGCTACAAACATCTTTATGTATTATTGCTGCATTCAGAGATATTTGCATAGTACCATGAACATGTAAAAATTATTACTCTAGAATTTAAAACAGGGATCAAGAAGCATTTATTAACAAGGCAGAGTAAATATTTCAGAGTTTGTTGGTCCAGAAGCAAGATTAAAGACATTGTGTAAGTATTCTTCATCACCATTTAAAATGTTGCTACTTAAAAACATAAGAAACCACCCTTAAATAACAGGCTATACAGAGACAGATTTATTTTTGACTGTTATTTCGCAGCAGGCCATAGGTCACCCACCGCTGTTTGTTTCCGGTTAAGAAGCGTTATCATTCATTATCTTTTAAAAGTAGGATGTTGAAATGAAAACCAAAGTCACAATCTTGCTAAGAAAATATTTCTTTTAGCTAAATATTTGTTTTGGCATAAATGAGAGTACTTTGTTTGCTTTCTTGTGTTCTCATTTTAAGAGTCATTATTTTAAAACATAAACTCCCCCCTAATATATTTTTTTTTCAAAAAAAAAACAATACAGGTTTTCTTGCATCCTGAAAGACAGTGTCACAGAAACACTGCCAAAGGTGAATATGACAGGAGCAATTTCTGGATATTCTTTCAAGCAATGCCCACACCAGTTAAGTGGTAAGATGTCTTTAGAGGACTAACAAATGCTAGCTTTTATGATACATGCATATAAAAGTGTCAGATAAGCTTTTATAGCTTTAATACCAAACACTACTATATGGAAATAGACTCTCCTACTGAAGTTCTTTTGGGATAGGATAAAAGATCACACATATGTGCTTGCCTCTCTCTCTTCCATAGGTGAACTACCATGCATTAAAATGCCTTTCTTTACTTTATAAAAGGGCATATTTTACTACTCAGCTCTCATCATCAATTTTCTTTCTCTTTCTCTGCCTAAAATTTTACAGGAAAGTCTATTAAGTGTATTAATACAAATCAAAGAGGGCAAGTACAAAGATTGTGTGGTGCACCCCTCAGCAGTGAAGCAGATACTTGAGCGGGTTAATTAGTGAACAACGAATCAATGGAGTCATGAGGAGTTAGGGCAGAAAATCAAAATGCAAGTTTATGGGCCTGAAATGATTGCAATATAGGAAGGACATTAGCATTCTTTTAATGCTTCTACATAGGTGAGAGTAGGAAATAAACAGGTTAATATTAAGACAAAAGACTTCTGAGGAAAAGGGAGCAAACTAGTTTAAAAAATCAAGTCAGGAGGAGCAGTTGCCAAGGGAGACATATCGTAGCTGCCCCTGGAATCTCGAGGGCACTTATATTTTTCACTTTTATTTCCAGCTTGCAACAAAGATGTTTATGAGGGCCTAGACATGAGAGGCGTGAACTATAATGGCTCTGTTGCCAGGAGTGTTCAGGAATGTCAAGAGAGGTGCACCAATGACATCCACTGCCACTTTTTCACATACGCAACAGGACATTTTCCCAGCATAGAGCACCGGTGAGTAAGCTAGAAACTGAGCCTAAGGACAAGAGAAATGTCAGTGGAGAGCAAAATGCTGACTCATCAAAATTAAATTTCACTTTGACGGCAAGATTTATTTTTAACCTTCAAAAACATTTGTATAATAGAAATCATTGTTTTTGTCATGAAAAGTTGGCTTAAAAACAGATTGGTGTTTTTTTTGTTTTGTTTTTTTTTTTTTTTTTTTTTTTGGTGGGGGTGCTCTTTGAGGCAGGGTCTCACCAGGCAGTTCAGGCTGGCCTTGAACTCACTTTGTAGCCCAGGCTCATCTTGAACTCAAAACAATCCCCCCCTCCTGAGTGCTGGGATTACAGGCTTGTACCACCATTCCCAACTGGGTGCATTTGATTATTGGTAAAGGTCTGTGTTTTCACCACACTTAGAAAATATGTATATGTATATGTTTAATCTATATTCCTGCTAATTTCAAAAGTGCTACATTTTAAAATTGGCCCTACAGTTGGCCCTACAATTGGCCCTACAATTGGTTCCATTGGTAATGGCCTTCCTACCCTATAGAATGACAAAGTAATGGAAGCTCATGTCGAGGTGTTACTCTGCTTATACTGAATTTTTGAAGTATTCCAAGAATAAATGTATTGAATAAGAATATAAAAATGATCTGCTACTAGTGACTCAGTCTACATCTTATTTAAAATTTTGTTAAAAAAGAAATATTAATTTTTATATTTAAAAGTATTTGTGATTACCTAAATTTGCATAGTAAACTACATTTATCTGGAATCCAAATGAAAAATTGCAATTAAATTCAAATTACTAATGTATTTGAATGTCATTTTACATACTTTAATTTTGTAACCTGAACAGCTATTTCTAAGATGACAATATGTAACTTGTCAACTGGCGATTTCTTATCATTTATTTTTCTGTAACTCTGTATTATTTCTACCCTTTTTTATCTCCATGTATTTTTTCTTTCTCTTTAAATAAAAGAAAATGTAAAAAAATTCAAATTACTAATGTTTATATTTTAACATTCTATTGTCCATATTCATGAAAAAGAGGTAAGTTGGGAAGCACACGAAGTATTCAAAAAGATTAAACTTAAAAGAGAAGGATGACATGAAAACAGAAGGAAGATTTAGATGAAAGGAAGGTAGTCAGAGAAGAGAGGCAGGAGACTTAAGGGAGAACAGCAGGGGAAGAAATGATCACAATCCTATATTCACAAAATGTTAATGTGCATTAACAGTTTATGTGAAAAATATCCAAACTAAAATAAATTATTTAAAACACCAAATTAATCACTGATCTGTCATGGCTTATCTTTAGGTAAGTGCAGAGGACATATTTCATGTCTCAGACAACAGAACATAAACTGCAAGCTGTGAAAATACGGAGGTATTATAGAAATATTAAAGCACTAAAATTGAGAAGAGATGGAGAAATCACGCATTCACATGTTTCTTCTCTTTGTATCTTCACTGCCACCAAGCTGTCATTTTGTTAGCAAAGAAATAGCTCACAAAATCCACAGGACCGCCAGGAGATCAGACATAGTCAGAACTGCCTCTCAAACGAATGCTTTTCAGGGTGATTCCTGTGTTGCCATGGCCCAAATCCTCTCTCCAAATGATAATTTCTTCTTGCTACAAACAGTGAAAGAGTATAAGATTTTTTTCCATGTTTGTCTTTATTCAGGAACATCTGTCTATTGAAGCGCACCAGAACAGGAACACCAACCAGCATAACAAAGCTGAGTAATGTGGTATCTGGATTTTCACTGAAATCCTGTGCACTTTCTAACCTGGGTAACTATTGTCTTATTTATTTATTCATTTATTTTTGGTACCGGGAATCAAACTCACAACCTCACGCTTACCAGGCAGGCACTTATGCCACTGAGTTAAATCCCCAGCCCAACTATTGCTGTCTTGATGGGATAGTTAAAAGATTAGTGTATGAAGTTGACGAGGACAGTAAGTGTAATTTGGACATAAACTTATGCTCTCTGATGAAATGTATCCAGTGATCTTTTCCCTTCTTATAACTGAGCTCATTTTGTCTTTTAGAGAGTTTATATTTAAATGACCAGTTCAAAACAAATAATTTTATTTCTGTGTAAATTAAAAGCATTGAAAAACCTTGGGGGTAAATTTAAACTTTTAAATAGGGAGCTTACAAATGTTGTAATAAAAATCTTCATGATTCTGCTGGTGCACGGGTTTTCCAACCTGGTTTCTTCTATCATGCAGCTTGTATTAGGGACATTTTCCCTAACACGGTGTTTGCAGACAGTAACATCGGCAGTGTTGTGACTCCTGATGCTTTTGTCTGTCGCGGCATTTGTACTCATCACCCCAGTTGTCTGTTTTTTACCTTCTTTTCCCATGAATGGTCAAGAGAATCTCAAAGGTAAGAGGTTATGACTAAGGGTGATTTGTCATCTTTTGAAAATAGCTGATTAAAATCCATCAATGAATGTCTTGAGTAGCTAAAAATTGTATTTAAATGTCTGTATATGATAAAAGTTGCAAAGAATTTTTGGATTTTCTCATTTCTCCTTTCCATCTACTGACCACAAATCTGACACTATCAATTGTTCCTACTTTTTGTTTGTTTGTTTTGTTTTGTTTTGTTTTAAGCTTAGAGGTCTCTACCTTTGGTAAAAGGAGAGTTGTCTGGCTGTCAATAGTGTGAAGAAGACAAGCCTGGCCATCAAAAAAGCTGTTCATTCCACTACAAAAAGAGCTGCTTTGCCGGGCGTGGTGGCTCACATCTATAATACCCAGCACTCAGGAGGTTGAGGCAAGAGGATCATTGCAAGTTCAAAACCAGCCTAGGCTACAAAGTGAGCTCAAGACCAGCCTGAACTGTATAGGGAGACCCTGTCTCAAAAACAAGAGAGAGAGAGAGAGAGAGAGAGAGAGAGAGAGAGAGAGAGAGAGCGAGCTGCAGATGTCAGTAAAATGAAAAATCTGCAATGGAAAGAGAGTGGTGAAAATGAAGACCTACATCAAGAAATTTGGAGTAAAAAGAGAATTTTAAGACTGAGGCCCCATTTCTCTACAGATGGGAATTAACAAGGGACAAGATAAAAAGTTTGTTATATTTCTTTGGTCATTAAAGGTAGACGCACTGAGGTTATTACCCTTCACAAACAAGAATCACCAGAAAACAAAAAAACAAAAAAGTCATAAGGTTCACTCCATCAAACAGAGGTTTCTTTACATTATCTGAGTTGGAATGCTTGAAGCTCTAGGCATGTGCTGACCTTGGCTGCCCACTGCTGAACAACTCTCAATCATCCAGCCAAGGTGAGCCCTTAAGTTCACTGCCCACCAGGTAAGCCTCATTGTGCACTAGGTGAGACTGTAATTTCAAGAGCACAAGACCTGTTACATGAAAATATATTTGTTAATTTCTTTTACTAAACAAACACTATAACTTCTTTGATATCTGTTGCATATCAAGAATTATTCTAGGGATATAATTGCCTCTTTGGATCAGGGTGGAAATGGGAGAGAAGTATTCCAATTGGGTTGTGTGATCAGATGGGGCCAATAGCATTTGCAGATGGGTTGGATATCGGCTGTGAAGGAAAGAAAGGGCCAGTGATATTATGAAGATTTTTGGCCTGAGTAATTGGAAGGATGCAAATGTCAGTGACTAAGCTGTGGAATCTTTCATGAGGAGCCAAAGTCAAGAGCAAGAGGCATGTTTTGGACATGTAGGGGAAATGCTGAACTGGTAACTGGAAATAGAAGTCAGCTTCAAAACAGACGCACTCTCTAGATCTGTGTAATTAGAGCCACAAAAAAGATGAGAATGACAAATGACTGAATGCAGACAGAGCACAAAGGAAACCCAGATGGAAAGGTCAGGCAATTCGGAAATGAGAAAATTTGGAAATTAGAAAAATGCCTTTGTATGTTGTTGTTTTGTGATTGTTGCTTCTTCATTTTGTTTTCTTTTATAAAATTACTGGTCATCTGGGCATGGTGGTACACACTTATAATCCCAGTACTCAGGAGGCTGAGGCGAGAGGACCACTGTGAGTTCAAGGCCAGCCTGGGCTCCATAGCAAAACCCTGTCTTAAAAAGACAAAAGAGAAAAAAATTACCAATCAATACTTATAAAATGAGTAACACATTTCATCCTTAATACAGAGTGTGGGAGGACCATGCCAGCTGCAAGGCTTCACTTAATTTAATTTAGATCGAATAAAATTAAAAATTCACTTCCCTGACTCTCTTATTCACATTATAAGTGATCAATAGCCATATGTAGCTACTTGTTACTCTACTGAATGGCATAGACAGAGAATATTTCTGCCATTCCAGAAAACTCTGTTGGATAGCTCTACTCAAGTCTGATGTTTTGAGTGAATTAGGAAAAGTCTCTCCCTTGCAGGAAGATGCTGCCAGGCAGGCTCAAGAGTCAGTGATGGATTTCACTTAGACATTTCTAAGCCTATATAGGAGATATTTAGGTAGCATGAATAATCTTTTATAAAAATATGGTTCATTAGTGTCTATCAATTTTACAAAGCAATGAAGTTCAGTGTGATATTTTCATACATGCACGTAGAATATTTTTTATCATATCTGTTCCCCTTCTCTCCCTAACAATCCCCGCTGTTCCTCTCCCCATAACATTGTAATGCTCTCCCTTCTAGCATGGAAATCATGTGATATTCAATCTCCAGTTCCATCCTTCTTTTTCTGAAAGTGGTAAAATAATTTCATTCATTCTTTGTTCAATTTATAATTGAATAATATTCATATGTGTGTGTGTCACATTTTTCTTACTCATTTGTAATAAATTGGTGGGCATTTAGGCTCACGTTGGCTGTTGTGAATCGTGCCAGAGTAAAGATGGATGTGTAAGTATATGGTGTGAAAATTCTTTGAATCTTTGAGACAGACTAGAAGTGTTGAAAGAAAGGAAATACAGAGCGGAAATAGTAACAATACTGGCACTAGGCCCACTTATGAGTCAGATGGTTTCGCTTTGAAATTGTCTACAACCTAGACGATCATAGAGCGTGACTCAATAATTCATGAAGAATACTATAAAACTAGGAGTATTCTCACTATTAAATGGCAACATGAGTCAACTTTACTTTCCAAACATGCTGTAAAAATATTCTTTTGATATGTCTTATATGATATATTTATGTCTTTCTCCCCTTTTTTACTGTCAGAAATCTTTGCCTCCTTAAAACATCTGAAAGTGGATTACCAACTACCCGCATTCAAAAGAACAAAGCTCTCTCTGGTTTCAGTCTGCAAAACTGCAGACACAGCGTCCCAGGTAAACAATGAGTCCATGTCCTTCTGGTGGAGAGCAACAATCCTTGAGCAGATTGAGGAATGATAAAGCCATCTGTCTCACTGCTGATATTGATGTGTTATCTAGTATTCTGTCCGTCTTCTTTTTATCGTGACACTGACTTCTTGGGAGAGGAACTCGACATTGTTGATGTGCAAGGTCATGAAGCCTGTCAGAAAATGTGCACCAATGCCATCCGCTGTCAGTTTTTTACTTATTTGCCACCTCAAGAATCTTGCAATGAAAGGAAGTAAGACACCTGAAGGGTTAAGTCGGTGTGCATAACTCATCCATTTTTTAGGTGATTTATATTTATCCTCCTTTGTTTCCAACTGTAGAGGCAAATGTTACTTAAAACTTTCTTCCAATGGATCTCCAACTAAAATACTTCGTGGGAGAGGAAGCATCTCTGGATATACATTACGGTTATGCAAAATGGATAATGGTAAGTGTGATGTCACTTGGAAAATATGTGTGAAGGAATTATTCTATACTAATTGTATTGAGATAATAACAGCCACACGGGGGCTAAAGCTAGTAAAATAAAATTTTAGCAGTTTTTCATTGTTTTCACCTCACTCATGCAAGCTAACTATGTTTTAAAGATATAAATTATCTTAAGTAAACCCTAATCTGCCTAATATGAATTGAATATGCATATTAATTTGAAACATTCACACTACTGGGATCTCCTGATGACACACAGAGTCAGCCAACATTCATATGGCTGATTCTTATATATAGTTTTGTTTGTTTGTGTGTTTGGTATCAAGAATTAAACTTAAGATCTCATAATGGCCAGGCAGGAGCTGTGCCACTGAGCTACATTCCTGAACCCACCATATGGCTGATTCTTATTATCAATGCCAAAGATCATTCTTACTATCCCTTAGGTGAAAAATTCAACCAGTACTTTGGTTAACCAAATTATTCATTTTTTCCCATTTGATGTTAAAAGTGAAATATAAATGATCATGACATTCTCCAAAAATTATGTATTTACTCAAGAAATGCTGGAATAGTTCTTTTTTTTTTTTTTTTTTTGAGGACTGTCATTCTTCCAGATTGACAAAGGATCTGTGGGTTTCAGTATATTAACAACCATGACTGAGAAACTTTAGTAATTATTTTCCAATTATCTGAACAATGTTTCCCTCCCGGTGACTAGTTTCTTAGCATAAGAAATGGTGTGTAGCCAAATAGAGATGTTCCAAGGGGCAGAATTACAGCAGGAAAAGAATATCCACAAATGCTTCTTCCCAAGTTATCATAATAACCTATTATGGCTTTATCATTTATTGATTTGCATCAAAACATGTTTTAGACTGTTTGCTTTGTTTAGTGTCCAAAATTATAATGTACTACACATTTAGATTAAGCTAACATTTAATGAATAAAATGGAAATGATAATCATACTTCATAATAATTTTAGGAGTACAAAAATATTTTTTGTTGGATTATTTCATATACTGAAAAGATAAATTAATTCTAAACACCTAGGAAATTGTTCTGTAAAACATACAAATTTTCTAGCACATACAATACTAATATTCTAAGTAATGAAATATTTCTTAGAATTGAAAGGTCCTTTGATGAGAATCTTTGGATGAATTAAGGATCTTTAGAAAATCACCCTATTATGTCATAGCTCAAACATGGTTTCCCTCACAGTAAGTTTACCAAAGAAAAGGAAGAAGCATTTCAAATAACTCTGTTGTCTTAGTCTTACTTGGCCTGAAAAGGAACACTTAGCAAATGTCATTAAGAGACGCTGGAGTGGTTTAAAGATAGAAATAAGCATTTATGTTTGATAAATTTCAGATATGGTTTTCACCCTCCCCATTTCATCCTTCTCTGTTGAGTTTTTAGACTTTAGTCTATGGAGGGTACAGAATATATCTGTTGTAAATTGATTAAATTTGATAATATAAAGGAAAATAAAATTTTGTGTCTTTTAGTACAGCTTCAAAGTTAAGTGAATTAAATAATTAGGCTTCACTGCACTGTATTAGATAAAATAATACTCTAATAAGAGAGGACATATGTAGCAAATGCTGCTTATGTCCAGTATTGTTGTTGAGGTACAATATAATTGAACTTTCTGAAGATGCATAGCAAAGTGGTTAAAAGAAACATTTCTTAACATCAAATGTAATGCTGAAAACTGTATTTCAGTATTTTGTTTCAGCTGAGGAACAGAATAGAATGAATATCAATACTCATGACATGTACCACCTGTGCTCTTTGTAAGTTATTTTTAACATATCTTAATTAACGTTTATCAACTTATCCTAAGGTTTGCCCATCTTGCAATCTATAAGAGCCTCCAATAAACTCCAGAATATTGCTAACATCTTTAACATGATCTTCCAAAATTAATGTCTGCCCACTCCCGTGAGAACTCTCTTAAGATTTCTATAACCACCTCATGCTCATTCTTAGCTCAGCTCACTGTTAACTGTTATTTGTTTTAAAACTTCTTTTCCCATACTCTCCTATTTTAAATATACCTCAGAATTATATTTATATTTATATTTTTTCCCTATAGAGAAAAGAAAAGCCTAAAAGTTCCTGTATAGCAATGGGTACCACCTACAAGCTTGTTACAAACAATTTTAGCATCCTTCACCCAAGTTCTGAGTCATAGTCTGTATTTTGAAAGTACACAGGCGATCCACAGGCATGCTGCCTGTGAATGCCCCCCTCTCTCATGCTATCTGGATTCTGTGGTACACCTGGCAAAGACTTCCAAGAGAAGAATGGGTTCTCCAATTTGGCATCCCAAGAAATAGTAATAGGATAGGCTCCTGCCCGACATCCAAGAAAAGAGAGAAGCCCAGGGATGAGTGTAAATCAGAGTCCTTGGAAAGTATCAGTAGTCAGCCCAGAAAAGCCCCAAATTGTCAACAAGGCCAAAGGGCAGAAATTCATACACAGAAAATCAATCCTGGCTTGGGCATGGATGAAGCAAGAATAACAGGGAGCCATTGCCAACAGGAGAGAATTGGGGACAAAGGAGGACTGGACAAGGGCTGCAGACTGAGTGGAAGGTACTCAGCTTTCGTCTGTGACATTGTTCTCAGACTTTCAGGGAGCAGATTAAAACATGAATTACTAGGCTCTGCTGCCAGAGTTTCTGGTTCACTGGGCTAGAGATGACCTCAAGAATTTACATGTCTAACTAGTCCCCGGGTGATGCTGTTCATCTGGGACCACACTTGGGAACCATTGTTTTAAAAGGTCAGTCACTGTTATCACTGAAGGAGACAACCGGCCCTGTGGTACCAGACAGCACAAGGAGATGTGATCATTCCATTTGTATGTGCATGTTTTCTTTGTCAACTTGATTATAAAGTCTAACTCAGGGCTATAGTAAATTCTTAAAAGAAGGAAAATTTTTCTTTCATTTGTTCCTCAGGAAACATAACTACTAATGGAAAATGAAATCTACTTATTGCAATCTCTCTTTCGTAGTATGCACAACCAAAATCAAGGCCAGAATTGTCGGAGGAACTGTGTCTCTGCGTGGTGAGTGGCCGTGGCAGATAACTCTGCATATCACAAAGCCCATCCAGAGACACTTGTGTGGAGGATCCATCATTGGGAACCAGTGGATATTAACGGCCGCTCATTGTTTTGATGGGTCGGTTCTGTGGCTATTTTTATTGGTCTACCATCCTCATACATCTGTGAAGTCCAGTACTAGTATATTCATTCATAAATATTTTTAAAATGTCAGTTACTCTATGTACTAAATTAATTTCCAGTCTTTAGTGGGAGACAAAAAGCAAAAAGAAAGAACTACTCATTAGAAACAGAGCTACATGACAGCACATGGGTCCCCTGTCTCATTTAAATGCAAACACATTTCATGGTCTTTCTGTCATTTCCGATAGGAACTTGCCATTCTTTGTTTATAGAGTCCGGAACTAAACTCGTGGAGAATTTCCTGTTCTGTGACTCCAGTTTCCCGTATTCATGCTTGTTCTTTCATTCTGCCTTTCTCTTTCTCTACCTCTATTTTTTTTCCTTTTTCCTCTCTCTTCACGCCACCCCCTTAAATACAGAAAGATGTCATTATGCATCCTCAAACTTATTCCCTACTTATGTTACTTTGGCTCTTGGTCAAACATAAAAGCTTTAGCTGGAAAATGTGTGAATGCATGTATCCCTGGAAATTTTAGCTGACCAAGTTTCCTCTTTGCCACTTTAGTGTCTTCTGACTTGTCTCCTGTTAGCTCTGTGTGTCATAGCTTTTTTTTTAAAATCTGTTCAAGACACACTGACATTATAACTCAAGACGATGCTTGAGATTAACAGTTCCCTTTGCAAAGTACAAAAACCCTATTGAATTTCTCAGGGTCACAGCTAGTAAATGGTAGGACTAAGATTAAAACTCAAGACTTTTCATGAACACGTGTATGTATGTATTGGAGAATGGAAAGAGCATTTATTATACAAGTTTCATGTAAAATAAATGCTCATCAGTACCCTCTTTACAGTGGAAACACATAACCAAAAAACTTTAGGATGAATTCAGTCTTTCCACTTAAAAGTAAACTATTGGCATGAAATTTAGTAATAGCCAGGTTAATAGCTATGTAGCTCAAAATGTTTGGAAAATACATATAAAGGAAATAAATTTCCCTCTCTTGTTTGTTCCTTAGGGTAGAATCACCTAAAATTCTGCGTATCTATGGTGGCATTGCAAATCAATCTGAAATAAATGAGGATACTCCTTTCTTTGGGGTACAAGAAATAATAATTCATGATCAGTATAAAATGGCAGAAAGTGGGTATGATATCGCCTTGCTGAAACTGGAAACAACCATGAACTATACGGGTACGTACAGTTCTAAGTGGAAAGTTATCTACAAAGGTGAGCTGGATGAGGTATTTACTAGCAAGATATTCATGACATGATCCTACAAATCTGTTCAAGTGCTTTCAACAAAGGGAAAGGGTTTGGAAAGCTTAGCTTTCAGTCTGATAAGGCTGACTCTCTTGTTTGATTGTAGGATCGTATGTTGAGGGCGTGGGTGAAAATTTTAGGCTTCTTCAGTTGCATAGGACAGCATAATTTTATAACATTTTAGAATATCAAGAGTAATCACGTCTACTAGCTTGTTTTGAGGGACAAAATGATGAAGGGTCAGCATGATTAAGAGTCAGCAACTTCTACAAACTCACAGAATGAGTTGGAGTGAAGGAATTAGTGGTAAAGGGCCTGGCTGGCTGATGTCACATCATCCTGGGATCTACAGTAACACCAAACATGAGACATAAAAATATGTGACAAGAAGACACAAAATGAATATAACAAACAGCAAAGGCATGTAGAATGAAAAGTGAGAAAAGATATATTTTGCTTCTGATAATTAAACTATGATTTTTTAAAAATTTAGATTCTCAACGACCCATATGCCTACCTTCCAAAGGAGATAGAAACGTAATATATAATGACTGCTGGGTGACTGGATGGGGATACACAAAATTAAGAGGTAAAAAATGCTGTTTTAGCATCCTAAAAATAAGGAGCATAGTTTAGCTATGCACATTTTCTGCTCTATCAAGCCATACAGCTGAGATGCAAATAGAATAAAATAGTACCATTCAATTGGAGGAAGTATACTAATAAAGATAAAAAGATAATAATCACCCAAGTGAGGATGATGTTAGGTCAGTTTTATTAGAAGTTTTAAATATGATTAAACCTCTTTAAAAACTATTTTTAATGAAATTTAATGTGAGACTTAGCACTTTTCAGTAAATGTCCTAACTTGTTATCTAATTATTGTCTCTGGCAAGTAAGTTTAATGAGTCATAATTAATTTTTAAGCTTGATTAACATTGATAAAATGGAATGCACAATAGTAGAAACAATGTCTTTTTAATACTTTACAAGTATAAAAGACTGGTGAAGTATACCTAATATTTTTATTCCTAGATTTTTACATAAGTATAATTTTTAATATTTTGCATGTGATTTTAATCAGTATTTTATATATGATTATCCTGCTAACAAGCTATAATTTTTTTAAGACAGTATACAAAACACTCTCCAGAAAGCCAAGGTACCCTTGGTGTCAAATGAAGAATGCCAGACAAGATACAGAAGTCATAAAATAACCAACAAGATGATTTGTGCAGGCTACAAGGAAGGAGGGAAGGATGCTTGCAAGGTAATAGAGTGTTCTCAACCAGCTGAATATATTCAAGTTAGATTGCTTAATACATTTTAAAAAGCAGTCTTCTGCCAAAAAGCAGGAAACAAGATGTGTTTGTCTTATTTATTGAAATCTAACATACAAACACTGGATGCAAGTGAATAATCTGGCTCTTTGAACTTCATAAAAGGACCAGAGTTGAATTTTAGGCCAAATCACTATGAACAAATATATTTATTATGGGAAGCATCTAATGCGATCTGTGCTGACATTTCCCTTCCCTTTTTCACAGGGAGATTCTGGGGGCCCCCTGTCCTGTAAACACAATGAGGTCTGGCATCTGGTGGGCATCACGAGCTGGGGAGAAGGTTGTGGTCAGAGAGAACGGCCCGGCGTTTACACCAACGTGGTCAAGTATGTGGACTGGATTTTGGAGAAAACTCAAGTGGAGCAAAGAAGTCGAGGCCCATTTGAAGGGCAAACCAGATTGTTTCCTAGAAAAGGGCTCAGATTTCCCTGAAGAAAACACAGTGATTATGGTTCCTCCGTGGTTACAAACTGCGCTTGATGTTTCTAAGACAATGTTTTAAAATTCTGTTTAGAAAATTCCTGTTTGATGATAATCTTTATTTGTTTTCAACATTCAATCTGTTGCTTTTTGATTACAATTTTACTCAGCAAAGGAAATCCCCATAAGGAGATATTTTTGAAGATTACACCATGACTGCTGTTCCAAAACTGTGGTGTAGCACCATGCAGAACTGCTAAAAAGAGCCCACCACAAAAAACTGCTACATAAAAAACAAGCTGTAGGAAATGGGAACAAGACAGTCATCATCAATGTGCAAGACTCTATATACTGCCTGTGGGACCACATCTCTTTTGTAAAGAAAGCATTTTACTGAATTTAATGACAGGCTTTCAGAAGGGCAGAGTTCTTGTCTTTTCAGTTTTTAATATGTGTTGCATATAAATGGAGGCAGGTACAAGCTGAAACTGAGTGTGAAATGAAGATTCCAGAGTTTGTGTAAGGGAGATTAGGATCAGCAATTTACTTAGAAGGAGTACTGTAGTACCCTACGGGACATATTGCAGAGATACACTTGCCTAGAAAACCGTTTGTTACAGACTGTGTATTTATTTGCTGAGCTTTTGGAAGGGGAAAGTGAATGGGGACAAGGGAGAAGAGCTTCCTTACTAAGGAAAGCTGCTGCTCTAAGCGTAATTCAGCAAAGAGAAAGACAATGGATATACTGAGAGAAATGAATGTAAAATATATCCATACTACAAAGAAAAAATCTACTTTGGAGCAAATGGATGATTAGAGTAGAGGCTTCAGCATCTTCAAATAGCTGTTTGTATTTTAAATACAGAAGTTTTCTCTTACTGGAAATATTTACCTTGTTATTGTTTTGTTACAGTACAATAGCCTAGGATTAGAACCATCTCCACGTAGTTTTCAACCTGTGTCAACAGCCATACAATTCACCCAATGTGAGAGATATTTATTGACCAAAACTACATAATAATACCACACTGAGCTTTGGGAAGAAGGATGAGAAAATAAACTGTAGCTTCATGATGTTTACAGTCGAGTTAACATGAACAACAAATAAAATAATTATACAAGATATAGTTTCAAACTTGAATAAGCAGGGTGCACAGAGTTCTCTGAGAAAAGAAGAATGATAAGTTCAACAGGTAGGATAAGAAGAGCACAGTTTTGAGAAAGATAAAACAAAAACAACAACTCTGCCCCAAATCCCAAAGATCAAAATGACTGAAAGAGCATAAATGAGCCAGGTCCCAAATATATGTAGACTGAAACAAACCTGGAGTGAAAAATTATAGCTCCATAAAGCTAGCAAATAATATTATCTCATTATATGTTTATTACCTTCACAGTGTTGAGCTAACACTTCAGAGAGAAAAATATTGGGGTGTCATTTCTGAAGTGATCTTTCTGTAAAGCCTTCCTTGAAAAGTATATGTTGAAAATACATCTTTGGTTTTTAGCATGTAACTTTGTATAATGTCTTAATATTTGAATACCTAATATATGCCCATGATTCAAAAATTAAAACGCCATGAGAAGTTATAAAATGTAAATTATAAAGATGCCCTCTCCTACCCCAAAGGTTGCTCAAACTATACACTGCTTAATGTTTTTCTCACTTAACTTTAAATCTTTAGCATAGTTCTGATTGGTGCAGAGTGAGGTTCCTTAGTCTGTTATAGAACATGGTATTCTACCTCAGAGATCCCATATTGTACTTAATCAATCCCCAACTGAAGGACAGTTAGGTTGCGTCAGTCTTTCTCTCTTCTGCAAATGTTCAGGTCAATTTGTAGGGCAAAGTGCATTTCAGAAGCAGATTTGTTGATAGAAACAACAAAGGCAACAACAACAGCAACATAAAGGGGGATGGAAGAATACATTTGCAGTTTTGATAAATTTTGGCAAATTTTCCTTCCAAAAATTTGTAGCAATTTTCCCTCCCACAATTCAATAGATAGAAAAAGGTATCTCAATTTTTATTTCTAGATTTTCTTAATGTAAATGGAATTGTGTTACTTTGGTGTATGTGATCACCAAACTAATAATTGCTTTATTTTTTTTTACCTAAACATTACTTTGGGAGTTACTTTATAGACAAAAATGGAATATGTTCTTGCAGTCATAACATGTTAAGAATTCTTGCTTATCAGCAAACGATTCCAGAACGTAGACTGTTCAAACTTGCTAGTGGCTCATTGTGGGTGAAAACACTGGTTATCCAGCTGTCTCTGCGTGTCATGGATGTGCACTTGGGGTTCAAGTGACCTCATCTCCTGTCCCAGGAGTGGGTGTTAATTTATGCACATGCACTAACACAATCTTGTCTTCCTTCCCCTGGAAAGCTGGTCACAGTGTACTGTAATCACAAATACAGAGTACAGTTATCTAAGTACTATAATCCTTTCCCCAGTCTTCCTCACAATCCAAAAAGTTATGTTTATAATACCATTAAGATATTATTGGAATCCTAGCAAGATAATTCCAATCTACCAACCCCAATGCACCTCACTGCGAGAGTAAAGACACCAAGATGTATTCCAAGTTAAGGGCACCCAAGGGGTCCTAAGTCCAATCCCCATGAGGATGTGTGGACAAAAGGCCTTCATCCCAGGCCTCTCCCAAAATTTATTATTTTGTGAAGAAAGGAGTGATTTGAGGATGAGTGACAGTGAGGATGGCGGGAACTACATGAATAATTTGAGCTGGCTAGTCAGGCAGGGAGAAAAGCATCTCTGCAAAATGCATCGATAAGGATATGCAGAAGGATCAATTTGCATAATCCAATCAAAGTAGTAACTACATTGTTTTTGGAGGCTGTTGCTTTGATTTCTGATGTGTAAACTTTTGTGCCCTGGCAAGTCATAGCCTCTTTATCTTGAGGCTCATACCCAGCTGACATTCCTGGAGCGGACTGGCTCTACCATCCTGCTGTGCTTATATATTTTAGAGAGAGCACAATGAGAGGAAAAAAAGAGACTGACTGATGGCTTTAGAGATTACATACCAGTACCTAGTTTAGCCTTATTTACAATGCTGAGAGCCAATAAAAAGAAAAAGAAAATCATAGCCAGCTCTATACACATCAGTGTAAGAAAATCAGTCTCCATATAATCAAAGTTGCAGCAATTGTTCTGCATTCAAAGGGAGTCACTTGAGTTGTCTCCCACAATGGTGGGCAGACCAAGGCATGTGACACAGCTTCCCCCAACCACAGTGACTGGCTTAGAGATGTCAATCTGTGCAGTTTGAGACTTTGGGTTGAATATTGGAAGGATGACTCCCCCCACCCATGAATGAGGAAGCAACTACTTTTCTAGTGGTGGCACAATCTTGAGAAGCAGCCTAAAGACCACAGTGATGCAAAGGCAGAGTCCTGAGAGCTCAGTTCATCCTGCTCTTCCCTGTTTCATAACAATAAATCCCCTCTTTGTGTTTGAGCCAGTTTGAATTTAAACTTCTATTATTAGCAAAAACATTCCAGTGTATCAGGATGTAGTCATCAAGAGTATTATTAATACTCTGACTCAATTATTTTTTAAATGTTAATTGCTATTATTATTATTATTTGCAGTACTGAGGATCAAATTTTGAGCATGCAAAAGTCGAGCTCTACCACCCAGCAACACCCAGCCCTGACTGAATTAAATCTAACCCTACACTTGTTAGGTGTTTGTTACAGTGCTGTTGCAGGAAATATGGTGTATTACATGGTGCTCTCTGCCCAGTCAGGAGGCCACGGTCCTCAGGAAGGCTGCTGTTCTCACCACCCCCATCACAGTGAAGGGAGGCAACCAGACATTAGAATGAGAATCGTGTATAGACTAAGTGCTTGTTTAAGAAAGGCTTTACAAGTACGCTTCACATTATCTGATTATCTGATCCACGTCTAGCCTTAGCTGTTGTCTATTGTCTTGCCTCATTAAAAAAATCAGGGAAGTCAGCATGGTGACACATGCCAGCAATCTGGAAGGTAAAGGCAGAAAAAGGTAGTTTGAACCCAGCCCGTGCAGTTTAGTGACTAGCAAGATTTGTCTTAAAATGTTTCCTTTTAAATTGCAGGGGGGCTTGGGATGTAGCTCAGTACATTGGTCTTAAGTTCAGCCCCTAGTAATAAAAACATGAAATCACACAAAATATCAGGGACGCTTTTATCCATTTTGACGAGCACTGTGTCTCCATCTGGACCTGTTCTCATCTCTCCTCCCCCACCTTCTGGGCCCCCACTGATCTCTAGTATGCTTTATCACCCGGGCTTTCCACACCCTCCACCAGGCTCGCTCTGGGGGAGCCTTTCCGCTTCCTAACCTTGTAGAGAGTCTTCAGTATTTTGGTTAGCCATGTGTCATAACTTCAGACAGAGGATTTTGTGGCTCACGGCTGCCTGGGCAGCACACAGCGCTGGTTCTGTGAGGTCACCGTAGCTTTCTCTTTGTGCCTTTCCTTCCCTTTGTGGCTCTTCGCAAGGGAGGGCTTCTACAGGGGCAGGTGTGAGGTGGCAGCCACATGCCACCACTTTCCAGCCTGATCTGTGAATTCCATCCATCTTTCTCCTCTCACACCCACCTCTCATACCTACCTGGGTGAGGCAAAGGGCTCTCTTTTCATTTACAGGAAAAATTTTCTGCCTTTGCCAAGGCTATCTCACAAGCTAAAAATAACTTCAGGATAATTATTCAATCAGAAATGTACCTCTATGTGTGTATGTGTGTATGTGTGTGTGTGTGTGTGTGTGTGTGTGTGTGTGTATGTGTGTCTGTCTGTCTGTCTGTGTCTGTGTGTGTGTTGCCTCTCTGGGCTCTGTTTCCTCATGTTCAGATGCTGAATCCAATTCTGAGAGTTTCCACAAAAAATTGCTATGAAAAGGGTAAGCGGGTAGGGAGTGGGTAAAATAATAGAAATTATTGTCTCTGTTCTTGAAACCGAAAATGTGAAGTCAGACTGTCAGCAGCTGCGCTCTGCGCTCTCTGAAGCCTCAGGGGAAGACGTGTGTTTCCTCTGGCTTCCAGGAGCTCCAGAGTCCTCTGGAGGTGGCTCTGTCTCCCTGCTGGGTCTTTTCCTCTGGGTTCCCTCCTCTCCTCTTAAAAGGAAATCATAGTATTGGATTTATAGCCCAAGCTACTGTGGACAGGTTGTACTACACTGTGTAAATGATATAGTTTATTATTATGGCCATTATCCATTTAATTTAAATCTTCAAGGCAACTACATTTGAAATACCTCAGAGCAACTGGTCCAGAACAGTATTTAATACACTTGCTGGATCTCTTTTGCTACTGGGTGTCAGGCAATTTTATTGCAAATGTAATTTGGTGGGAGTCCCTGGTGGAGATAATTGTTCCTGTAACTTTGATTTACCATTTACTTCCTCTACCGAGAGACCTGTTAGAATTTACTTTTTGGCCACTGATGCCATTTTTACACTGTTCCCCAAGGAACAGGTGTGGGAAGTGTAACCACAAGAAATTACAAAGGACATTGTGTTGTGCATAGGTGGAGATTTGCATAGCTGTGACCATTAAGCTACTAACACATTTGGGTACTGTCAAAAGAACAGTCAAAAGTGAACTCTTGAGGTTAGGAAAGCAGTTTAATAAGTACATGCAATAAGAAACTTAGGTTATCACAAGCAAAACAGTATCAAACACAAAGTGTGAGTTTTTAATAAGTCTCTGCCACAATCATTTGAAATAACTCTCATTATACGAACAGGAAGCCACTAAAGAGAAACCAAGACAAACCGTTACTTCCTCACAAATATTTATATAATTAAGCATATTGATATTTTATATGAGTGTATCTAGATGGGTTTCTCAGGTCATTACTTCTGCTAGTTA